AGTCAGAACGGTCGTTCTCTGGCCAGTTGTTAGCTGTGTACTTCTTGTCTTTTCCTTCCAGGTGTTTCCTTCTTTGTTTCAGCTCCCTCTGATTTAGCCTGGCGTATTTCCTAGGAGAGCTAGCTTCTTTACATGACCTCCTTTGGACAACCATTTATAGTTTTTAAATTTTGAGTATTTTACTTTGCCAAAAGTATTGAAAACAGTTTTTGGTTTTGGATAGATCCGAAATGTGCAAGTATTCCGCGTGTGACCACAGTGGTCTTATAGTTGTCTTCCTGCAATAAGAACGTGTTAGTCCTGTCGTGGATATGACAACTTCTTCTTCTTCTTCCACCCTTCATCTTCCAATGTAACATGGGCCCTCAAACAACTCACACCAAGCCGTTCACTATCGCCAAGTGTTATGTTTGTTTTTGTGTGTGCTTCTGCCTTTAACCATGTGGGTTCCAGCACAAGGCTATTCTAGTTATTCTGTTTTACAGGTTTTTTTTTAAGTGGGGTCTTATCCAATACCAGCGTCTTTTCCTCATCTTTGGATTCTCTCGAGTTTGTTTAGTTCTCTCATAAAGCTATACAGCAGTGTTTTACCACTGCCTGCAACTAAAGCTAGGGATAGCTTAATTGGGAGACAAGAGCCAAACTGATCATACATATGATATTACATGTGTTTGAACAATACATATATCCGCTCCAGGATTGTAGTCTGTAGGGTTAACATCCCAAGGATTGTTGTCTGTAGGGTTAACATCCCAAGGATTGTAGTCTGTAGGGTTAATATCCCAAGGATTGTAGTCTGTAGGGTTAACATCCCAAAGATTGTAGTCTGTATGGTTAACATCCCAAGGATTGTAGTCTGTAGGGTTAATATTCCAAGGATTGTAGTCTGTAGGGTTAACATCCCAAAGATTGTAGTCTGTAGGGTTAACATCCCAAAGATTGTAGTCTGAGGGTTAATATCCCAAGGATTGTAGTCTGTAGGGTTAAGATTTCAAGGATTCTAGTCTGTGGGGTTAACATCCCAAGGATTGTAGTTTGTAGGGTTAACATCCCAAGGATTGTAGTCTGTAGGGTTAGCATCCCAGGGATTGTAGTCTGTAGGGTTAATATCCCAAGGATTGTAGTCTGTAGGGTTAACATCCCAAAGATTGTAGTCTGTATGGTTAACATCCCAAGGATTGTAGTCTGTAGGGTTAATATCCCAAGGATTGTAGTCTGTAGGGTTAACATCCCAAAGATTGTAGTCTGTAGGTTTAACATCCCAAAGATTGTAGTCTGAGGGTTAATATCCTAAGGATTGTAGTCTGTGGGGTTAAGATCCCAAGGATTGTAGTCTGTAGGGTTAACATCCCAAAGATTGTAGTCTGCAATGTGAACATCTCAAGGATTGTAGTCTGTAGGGTTAGCATCCCAAGGATTGTAGTCTGTAGGGTTAATATCCCAAGGATTGTAGTCTGTAGGGTTAACATCCCAAAGATTGTAGTCTGTATGGTTAACATCCCAAGGACTGTAGTCTGTAGGGTTAATATCCCAAGGATTGTAGTCTGTAGGGTTAACATCCCAAAGATTGTAGTCTGTAGGGTTAATATCCCAAGGATTGTAGTCTGAGGGTTAATATCCCAAGGATTGTAGTCTGTAGGGTTAAGATCCCAAGGATTGTAGTCTGTAGGGTTAACATCCCAAAGATTGTAGTCTGCACGGTGAACATCCCAAGGATTGTAGTCTGTAGGGTTAACATCCCAAGGATTGTAGTCTGTGTTGTTAACATCCCAAGGATTGTAGTCTGTAGGCTTAACATCCCAAGGATGACAACCACACAGGTACAGATTCCAGTAACCTCTTTCGACCGTATTGCCATCTAGCACAATCATTCTGGTGTTTGCTTCGGGCGGAGTGACAATCTTCACTTGGAAGTTCACGGGTAGTGAGTATACTGTAGGTCTTTTCTCTAGAAGATACAGCGTGGTGGGGAAGGAACAGGCAGACAGATTGGCTGGATCTGCACCACTGGGTGGTAAAGAGATACATGACAAGGTAGATATGGTCAGCGCACTTTAGGAACAAGTAAGGAAGTCAGAAAATAAACTGGATTATTATGGCCTGTTGAGAATGATGCACCTGGGTGGGACCAGAGGGTCTGGCTGGCTCACCTCACTCAGAAAGCCAAGCCGACATGCAACCAGATACTCTGCGCTGGCTGCTGAAGATGGGGACGGAGCGCAATGGGAATGTACCAAGTGTTGTAATGTCAGTTCTGAACTCAACTTAATTGGGAAACCAGAAAAGGGTTATGAAGTAACATGCAGCACTGTTTGGCTTGGTCTTTTGTTGTGTCAAAACCAAAGTATTCTTCCTAGTAAAAGAAAGTCCCGACACAAAGACAACTACTTATGGGTAATATGAACCAATACCATGAACGATATAAAGGCAGTGTTATTTGAAGTCAGTGCAAGACAAATGCAAAATAGACTTACACTATACATGGCAATAACAAACATATATATATATATATATATATATATATATATATATATATATATATATATATATACACACACACACACACACACACACACACACACATATATATACATACATAAAGAGAGAATAAATTGTTGAAAGTACTATAGTATCAGTTTAATGTCACTTAAAGAAAAATATTAAGCATACATAGCATACAGCCAGACATACACTAGAAGATTTAGCCAAGAATATGTCAGTACGCTATTATAGAGAGGGATTGGGACAGAAAAAAATATCATAATAACTCGAAAAACACGAATAAATAAATAAAACATCCCTTAGTTTAAAAAACAAAAACACCCTATATCCAATTTCAACCCAAATGACGGTACACTACCTGAATATGTATGTATGCACACACATACGCAACATTTATTTACCCATAATATTGCATCTACGTCCGTTGCATTATAAATAACGATCACTAAATTCTTACAGGGTATACTTTCTATAACATATCGCGCTTGCATAAAAGACTAGTTTTTCCCCAAGGGGTTTCATTAACACTGGTGGGGTTGGGTGGGGTGGGGAAAGGCCCACTTCCCCCTAACAAGTATGCAAAAACCGGTGCTAGCTCCTGCCAACTGCCTCTCTAAGGACCAATGAAGAAGAAGAAGAAGAAGAAGAAGAAGAAGAAGAAGAAGAAGAAGAAGAAGAAGAAGAAGAAGAAGAAGAAGAAGAAGAAGAAGAAGAAGAAGAAGAAGAAGAAGAAGAAGAAGAAGAAAAAGAAGAAGAAGAAGAAGAAGAAGAAGAAGAAGAAGAAGAAGAAGAAGAAGAAGAAGAAGAAGAAGAAGAAGAAGAAGAAGAAGAAGAAGAGAAGAAGAAGAAGAAGAAGAAGAAGAAGAAGAAGAAGAAGAAGAAGAAGAAGAAGAAGAAGAAGAAGAAGAAGAAGAAGAAGAAGAAGAAGAAGAAGAAGGAGAAGAAGAAGATGAAGAAGAAAAAGAAAAAAACCTACGTTTGTAATACGTTTTAGATAATTGTGCAAGAAACAATCATAAGAGGGGTGCACAGAAATGCTAAGAACAATCCGATTATTATGTTTGCAAATAAAATATTGTGGTTACAAAACATTTAATTGAGTCGTTGAAACTCGTTGTATGTCAATGTATTTATGAATGTTTAATTCTGGAGGCAAAGAATGTGTGGCTTCTGTTGGAGTTTCTGTTTGTCATATCAAGCGAACTTTCCTCGCATCATGGTTCGGTGGATTTTATTTAGCTCCCTTCATTGGCTCTTTATTTGCAACTCATTCATACCACGTTTGCCACTATAGATTTGAAACCAACTAATGCATAACTCAAAATCGAATCTCACAGCCATCATATTGTTCACATTTATATTGCTAGTCATGACCATAAACCTATGGCTTTATTAATAAATAAACCTATAGCTTTAATATTAAATAAACCTATGGCTTTATTAATAAATAAACCTATGGCTTTATTTAATAAATAAACCTATGGCTTTATTAATAAATAAACCTATGGCTTTATTAATAAATAAACCATATGGCTCTTTATTAATAAATAAACCTATGGCTTTATTAATAAATAAACCTATGGCCAGACGTAAGATTTGAAAATGGGTGGTTTTTAGAGCGTACACTAAGAGTTGGGAGCCATCATTGTGTAGCGGCTAGAAGCTGACCTACGGATCGGAGGTCGTGGATTCAAGTCCTGACGGAGCCGGACATTTCTGTGCAAAATGACCTTGGCTCCCAGTTTGACCAAGCCTTAAATGGCCATCAGGTACAGTCCTTGAAAGTAAAGACGCTGACCACATCACCCACAGAGGGCTAATTGGCCCAGAAAATAAAGATCTAGCCCTATATGCCCAAACCGCAGGAAGGCGTGGAATGGGGTCCCTTACTTTTACATTAAAAGTTTAAATCTAGTGTGGGTATATTACCAATTCTGTGGTTGAAAAGAATACATGTGAGATACACAGACTGTTGTTGTCTGCATCGATGTCGTAGTCAACAGATTCATCATAACTACCATCACTATCATCATCGCCGCCATAACCATCATCATCGTTGTCATCTCTTCTTCTTCTTCTTCTTCTTCTTCTTCTTCTTCTTCTTCTTCTTCTTCTTCTTCTTCTTCTTCTTCTTCTTCTTCTTCTTCTTCTTCAGCTTCTTCAGCTTCTTCTTCTTCTTCTTCTTTCCTTCGACTTCTGCAGCTCCTTCTCCACTTCATTTTTGTTTTCCCGTTTATAACTAAACTACAGCCTAAGTTGTAGCTGAAGACTTTACACTGAAAATTTGCCTGTGAAAATAGTATCTTATTCAATGGTTAATTTACACTCAAGGATAACAGATACAGTCACACACGCACACACACACACACACAAGCCACTCAGACTTTTGTACTGTGTATAACGTTTCAGCCCAGTGAATCTTTGGCGATTATGAATGGAGATTCCATCTGTCATATTTACAGACATTATAAATTGAGACAGGATGTTGTCGTCTGCTGTTACTTGGAAGACATGATTTTCACAAACTCTGGAAGGAAAATGAAAACAAAGATATTTAATAGAATCACTTGTTTTTCTGGATTGTGCTCATATCGAGTGTTAATTAACCACACACGTTCGCATAACAGCCTAAAGATCTTGGGTTTGAATCCGCACTGAGGTCATCCCTCCTCCACAAATGACCTTGACTCCAAGGTCGAAGCAGTCTAAAATTGGGCCAGGTAATGTCAATGAAGTAAAGGCGAAGGGAGTGCTAATTCCTCTATAAAACCGTTAGCTCGGCGACATATAGTCGATAACCACTCGTTTATATAAAAGAACCCTTTCTGCATTTTCTTGTACATACTTACTTACTTAGTCGCTCCTCTTCAACCCGTAAAAGTGTAGAGGTTTGCCAGAGAGATCGCCAGCCTTCTTTATGAACAGTTTTCTTTCTGACTTTGTTTCATTCCAGTCCTCTGTCAGTCAGCGACTGTCGGATGTTGTCTTCCCAGCCGACCCTGGGTTGCCCTGGAGGTCTGGTTCCTTGGTTCTTAGCCTCCCAAGCCTGCCATGTTGGCCGATTTTCTCCCATTCTGCATAAATGTCCAAACCATCGTAAATGTGACTGATCCACTCGGGTTTGTCAGACCTGGGTATCAAAATCTTGACGTATTGTCTGATTCTAGACTTTGTCCCTTCTTGTCATTTGGACCACCCTTCTCAGATATCTAATTTCTGAGGCCTGAAGCTCGTAGGTCCAGACTTGTACACAGGTAGGGCGGTAAACAGCCATTTTCGTAATCTGCAAATTTCTGTTTTTCTTTTCCGTAATCTGAAAAATTTATTTTTTTTAGCTGAGAAACCTTCTGTTTGTGGCCCGAAAAAGTCTCACAGCAGCTGCTTTTCGCGTAGCATTTTCTTTTAACACTGGACATAAATAATCCTGTTTTATTTGGTATATTACCTGCTTCTGAAGCACACAACTCAACGTACAATCATTGTCAAGTCCAGAGAGGGTACAACTTTATGACTCTCTTTTATCACAAGCAGCAGTTACCCCCAAAACACACACGCGCCAGCACCTGTGGGCTAAGGTACACAGACAGGCGTCATCAGACTTACATTCATTCAACGATGAATTTCAATAGGTTTTACCCTCTCACTTACTATAAATAAAACGGAGAAGATAACCCAGCTTTTCCTTGGTGTATATCAATGGCGTGGCGGCCATCTTTAAACTGTAAGCATAGGTAGGTAGGTAAGTTGTACCCCACCAGGACATTACACAAGAGATAAATACCCGGTGACATAAAGTGCCACCATGCGGACGAGGAACCCCCGTGGAGAGGTCTCGGAAACCCTATTCAGCCGTTAGGCCATATTTAAGACCCAGCTATATTTAGGGCTCCCGGCAAGCCAGGGAGGGGCTTCAAAATAACCTAAAATTGCATCCGACAAGCGGATGACGATTCAAAAAACAAAATAATGTTTGACGTCACCGTATTCGTCTGTATTTGACATCGTTAGCAGCTGTACTGACATGTTACAGCGTTACAGTTCAATGGTACCGTTACTGTAACGACAATAACATTTGTAAGGTCCTCATTTGAAGCCACATGTGCGTGTGTGTGTGTGTGTGTGTGTGTGTGTGTGTGTGTGTGTGTGTGTGTGTGTTTCAACGTAAGAATACGCATAGCAGTCAACTTCGTCGTCGATAATATATAAAACACGAACACAAACTTGAATAAATCTTAGGTTACTTGGGAGCTACGTCAGGATGAGAGAAGGAAATATGATGTAGCCAAGGATGAGGCAGGAGTATACCAGTTATATTCCGATCTTCTCTGACGCGACCTAATTTGATTCGTCAAGTGTAAATACTCTATTTTAGAAAGCAAAGCCTGACATAGATTTCGTTCAATATAAAGTTACAGTTGTAGGATGAAGCTGAGATAATCGACAGGTTTTAGCGGCGACCCTATCGGGCTCCATTTTGGAGAATAAAAAATAGTTCTGGATCGAGATCAAAGTAGAGATATGGACGAAAAACCAAAACTTGTCAACGGAGTTTACAACCAGTGAACGATAAGGAAAAGTAGACAATTTAACAGGATTTTATCCAATTTGTCTCCCCTTCCCTACGCATAACGACTAGCCCCCTGCCTGAAGCATCGAATGAAGCACGATCTCTGAAGCTCTAGATACGTTACCCAGCGGTCTCCGCAAACAAACTGCACCACTGAACTGAAAAATAAAGCCCATTCAAAGAAACCAGAGCGAGAGGCACACAGCTTGACCTCCCAAATTAGAGTTTTAGAATGAACGAACAACGTCCTAACTTCCATTGGCTGTGCCAGGGAGAGAGAGAGAGAGAGAGAGAGAGAGAGAGAGAGAGAGAGAGAGAGAGAGAGAGAGAGAGAGAGAGGGGGGGGAGGGAGGGAGCGAGAGAGAGAGAGAGAGAGAGAGAGAGAGAGAGAGAGAGAGAGAGAGAGAGAGAGAGAGAGAGAGAAGAGCGCTACTTTTAAACATGAAACTGAGACTTACCGTCAAAATCAATTTGCCCATTTCCGTCAAGATCCACCTCCCTCATCATGTCCAGCACTTCCTCCTCGGTGACAGACTCTCCCAGGTTGACCATGACTCGATGAAGCTCCTCCACAGAGATCAGGCCATTTCCGTCTCGGTCCACAACCCTGTTATTCAGAGAGTGTCAGTGATACGAGTCAAAACGAGAGTCAGAGATTCGAGTCAAAACGAGTGTCAGTAATTCAAGTCAAAACGAGTGTCAGTGATTCGAGTCAAAACGAGGGTCAGGGTTTCGAGTCAAAACGAGTGTCAGTGATTCGAGTCAAAACGAGGGTCAGGGTTTCGAGTCAAAACGAGGGTCAAAGTTTCGAGTTAAAACGAGTATCAGTGATTCAAGTCAAAACGAGGGTCAGGGATTGGTGGCAGAAGATGAGGAATGCAGATGGCGGCAGAAGATGAGGAATGAAGATGGGGGCAGGCGATGAAAAAAAATGGTTGCAGAAGATAAGGAATGCAGATGGGGGCAGAATATGAGAAATGAAGATGGAGGCAGAAAATCGGGATTAAATGGAGGGACAGACAATGGGGATTGAAGACATGGGCACAAGATATGATTGGAGATAGTGAAAGAAGATGAGGACTGAAGATGGGAACAGAAAAAGGAACTGAAGACAATGGCAGAAGATAGGATTAAAGAAAGTGGACGAAAATGAGGGTTAAATAAAAGGGTAGAGGAACATCGAAGACTGAGAACGAAGATTTTGGCCACAAATGGGGAAACCTTTTTGTATGTGCTTCAGATTTGTGAATTACTTATTCAGAAAATGCCGAGTGGCTGGTTGCCACAGATCTGGCTGTATGCCTTATGCAGTATTGCTTGTGCACCTGCTGGTTTGTCGTGACTACTGCTTCGATCAACTATAAACTGCAATTCTAGTGACAAACTGTTGGTTTGGGCATCTCTGGTTGCCCTGTGGATTTTCGCGAGTGTAGGTTGTAGGACTTTGCATGGGCTGTTGCATGTTTTACTGCTATGAGAGAGTTATAGACATCTTGTGTGATTTTCATAGCAACGGCGAAATAATGGGATAACCCATTTGCCGTAAAATTATAACGTCGACTGATAGCCAGAAGACCGTGGCTTAAGAAAAGTTGGAAAAATAGGTGCAACAGATGAGGGCTGAAGATTCAGATCGAAGAAAGGGATCAAAAATGTAAAAACAGATATTTATTTCAAGTTAAGGTACCACACTACCATAGAAACTTTCAACAACTTGAAAGCCGAGTCGAGTTGAGCCAAGAACTGATATCACAGCACTCGAGATGTTCCCACAATCGCTTTTCACTATCATCAGCAGTCAGCGAAGAGTTGCTAAGTCTGATGATGTCAGTCAAATAATTTGTGTGACACGCCCATTTCTCTAAATGTAGAGTGTCGACTCTACCCACCACATTCTCTCCGGACAGTAATGGTCGATTCATGTCTTTGCATTATTCACTTGCTCCCAAAGGGCCTGGTTCACATCTAGCTTGTCACCTTATCTCCCAATGGTGCCGAACTAGCCAATCTGTGTGTCTATTCGTTTCCCAAATGGCCTGCATTACCCAGGAGAAAATATCCAAATGTTGCTAACGACGCAGGAACGACTTGGAAGTTCTGTAATAAGAATCAAGGGAGGTAATTGGTTAAACTTGAAAACGAAGCACGTTTATTTATTCAGACACAGTTACTGCCCCTAATATGTGTTTTTGGTGTAACGCTGAAGGGAGTCGAAAGTCGGTGACTCAAATCAACCCAGCCTAAAATAAATATATACTATGTGATATTATAGGAAGTAAAAGCGGCAGATTTGATGTTGACCACATCTATAAGAATAAAGGTCTACACCCAATGACCAGTTCGTCGAAGGCGTAAAAAGGGTACTTTACTTACTTCACTAATTACCAGAACAGTAATCTTTTAGTCCATGCCATGTGTCGTAGGTAAACTCTCAACCCTGACGTGTTTTTAAGGATGCAATTTTTCTTTATTTGAAGCCCTACTCTGGCTCTTGCCAGGGGCCGCAATATAGTCCTGGTCATTAATATGGCCTAAGGCTGAACGCGGTTTTTGGGACCTCTCCATGGGTGATCTCATCCACATGGCACATTGTGTCATCGGGTGTTTATCGATTGTGTGATGTCCTAGTGGGGTAGAAAGTCAGTCATTCCGACTGCCATGTGTCCTTTCTAGACTGCAACAGCCTTCTGTTCCAGCATGGCTAATCATCCGTACTGTGTCTTTGCAACGAAGTGGTCAAGCCGTCAGCTTCGCGCTCTGAAGGTCGGCTGTTCTTTCTATGAACGTGTCGGTTTTTACGGATGTCCGTTGGGATCGTCGCTGGAGCTACGCTTTCAGTTGCCAGCTAGCCGTTGTGCGGAAACAGACCGACCACTATGGGGCATCCCGGGACAATGAATTAGATCCTCACGAGTTTGAATTTTGAATTTAGCTTCAGACACAAGTTTGCCATTGCTATGATGTTAAGTCAACTGTCCCATGTCTTCTCGTATGATCCTATTATTTTGCACAACCATTGCGCTCACGCGTGGTTTTATTTGAAAAAGCACAATAGGCTACAATGTCTTTCTGTGAAGGTTCGTCCATGCTGGGCGGAATAGGCTAGATACTGGGCCAATAAGTCAGGTAGATGCTGCCTTTTTTTTTCTCATGTCACTGACGCAACTGCTGCCAACTGGTCAAGTCATTGCCTCGCGCTCCTCGGAACGTGGAACTGCTTTACGGACTGGGTCATTCGGTTCACAAACGATGCGTTTAAGGAGATTTTTTTAAATCGTCTCTAGAGTTAGGAAGTTCGTACTTTGTGCGACGCTCAACAGCAGGCGGCTAGCCATTCTTGCGAGGAGAGACTGAGCCTTATAAGTAAGAACGTAGTGCAAGGAAGGTCGATGATAGTGTTAAACAAATGTCTCAATGCAGATTCGACCTAAAAACCGTGGGATCGGCAGCGCTGATCATGGTCCCCCCCCCCCCTCCACACAAACACCCCCCCCCCCCCCAAACACACACACAAAGATCTCTTTAAAATAATTTTTTTTCTCTAACAACCATGTGGTGGGCGGTACTATATATCTGAGCAACTTTCCTCAGTAAATCAAAATCACAGCGCAAGTCATCCTTTCATCCTTCCCTCAAACCTTCATTAGTCGAGGAGCTGTGGCCCATGAAGCTGCTAGAGCTGCAGCAGCAATTCAGAAAAGACACAGCAGGAAAGACACTGAAGCAAATCACCAGAGAGATGCGGCCTCAGTTTCCCTGTCCACACTGCTTAACAACTTCCAGTGCTAGAACTGGTCTTTTCAGCCATCTGCGCACTCACAGAATCTAATACAGTCGACAGTGGATGAAAGGACTGGTGATCATCACGTGTGATGGGCCTGTCTTAGATGAATTATTCAATCAAGTGTCGTCTCCGTATTAATAGTTGGTTGCAATGGATCCCTAGCATTTTCCTTCTCCCCCTCCATTGTACACTCTTGCGTTGTTGGCGCAGCTCTTTATGTTATCGTTCACTCTATTACAGTCTACCTCCGAGCAGAACCGTAGGAAGGGGGTGTGCGGGGCCGAGTGTTATCATGGGATGGGGGGGGCAGGGGGTGACAAATGAAAACATAAATTTGTGTAAGTTGTTTGTGGGAGTAAAAACAAGGGAAGGGGTGGTGGCCATAGTAAATGTTTCGCACCGGGCACCACCTGACCTTGCAATGACCCAGACTCTGAGTCACCTGCCTTGAACTTTTGCCTTAAATATAGCTTCTATAAATGTGTCGTGTTTATGTAGCCGAAATAATTTCATTTTCGTATTTTTTTTTTCTGTCAACAATTCTACTCCTTCCTAGTCTCTCAGCGGTTCCTCGTATTTCATTTCTTCCTCTGGTCCATGTGGGATCGTACACCTGTTTGTATTCATAGACAGGTAGTTACATTTGTGTCTAGACTGCCAAGGGCCTGTCTTACGTTGCGTAGATTTGTTTACTCCTTCATCTGTTTAAGACTGCATTTGACGTCGCTTTGTCAGATCCCCCATTCGTTCAGGGAGACCAGTTCTCCGTGTCCCTTTCCCGCTATTTCCAGTCTAGGAGCCATGAATTTGACACCTTGAAACCGGTTCTGAGCAGGCGGCGCCACAGTCTGCGCTGAGTCCGAGCGAACGTAAGTCGTCTTCATGGAGCGCCTGTTTTTATATGAAATCAGAGGGTGGTATTTCATTACCATCACAACATGCGCAGATTAGCTTGGGAAATCATGGTTTGCAATTTCACACGAGTTATGTTTTTCTTATCACTGCACATTGGGCATTCCCATGTGTGCTCAGTCCTCGAATGCAGCAGCCGACACAAACTACTTTTACTAAATAATCATACGAGAAGTTTGTTATTATTTCTCCTATCTTGACTTCGTCCTCAGGTGTGTTCCAGGAGCTCACAGTGAAAAAAAGAGGGGGGAGGGGGAGGATATACCCCCTACTTCCTTAAAAAGCATGTCGTAAAAGTCTACTAATTAGGGGTTTCCTTTGAAGTCGGACTGCATTTGCATGAACGAACGAACCAACGAACGCTATTTTTAAAGGATTACAAACTGGGCACGCAGACCCGTCATACATTGTGGTAGACAAACTAGAAAAGAAAGAAGTCTTACTTGAATGCGTCTCTCATTTCTTCCTCTTTGCTCGAGTACTTATTCTGTCCGGACATCATTGTCAGGAACTCTGTGAAATCGATTCTGCCATTCCCTGAAGGTAGACAAAAGATAGGCTTTTACAATTTCCTCTATCATTTAAGAAAAAGAAAAAAAATAATTTCAACCTGCACAGTCCGTGGCGACAGCACTAACAATGTATGTATATGTATGTATATGTGTACATATATGTGTGTGTATGTATGTAAATGTAGCTGTGTAGGTATGTGCGTGTGCATTTATGTATGTATGTGGATGTATGTATGTGGATGTATGTGTATATATGTAGATGCGTAAGTATGTGGGTGTATGTGTGTTTATTTTTGTATGTATGCATGTGTGTAAGTATGTGGGTGTGTATTATGGATGTGCGTATGTATATATATATGTATCTTTGTGTGTGTATGTATGTATAAAGTGGGTCAGTGTGTATGTATGTGGAAATATGTATGTATTTTTAGGTGTGTAAGTATATGTGTGTATTTATGTATATATGTTGTCAGTACGTGGGTGTTTATATGTGGGTGTATGTGTGATTGTATATGAGTGTATGTGTGATTGTTGGTGTGTGTGTGGGTGTGTATTATGTATGCAAGTATGTATGTATATGTGTATGTATCTATATGTGTATGTATGCATGTTGATGGATGTATGTATGCAAGTGTATGTGTCTTTAGGTACGTAGGTGTGTAAGTATGTGAGTGTATGTATGGATGTGTGTATGTGTGGGGGTGCATGTTTGTGTGTGATTGAATGTAAGTGTGTATGTGTGATTGTGGGTGTCTCTATATGTGATTGTATGTGTGTGTTTGTGTGATTGTATGTGAGTGTATATGTGTGATTGTGGGTGTCTTTATATGTGATTGTATGTGTGTGTGTTTCATGTCTGTGTATGTATGTATGTAGGTGCGTGTATGTGTGTATTACTTTTGTATGTTTATGAGTGTGCATGTATGAGAATGTAAGAGTATGTGTACTTGTGTGTTTGAGTATGTAAGATTGTGTATGCATTATTCTATAATGTATATTTCTTTATTATATACATAACATGAATTATTGATAACAGGCATTGGTACTCTGAAAGATGAGTCCTTAGAAGGGCCCAATGTCAGACGGGCCTGCGTGCCCAATTTGTAACCCTTTGAAAATAAAGTTTGTTCGGTCTCTCTCTCTCTCTCTCTCTCTCTCTCTCTCTCTCTCTCTCTCTCTCTCTCTCTCTCTCTCTCTGCCTAAAAAAAAGTTGTAAATGCATTAGGCTGCAAGCGACAGTGAAGAAAGGACTCAGAAACCATTGCAACGACAACCCCCACAACTGCATCCACCACAACCACCACAACTGCATCCACCACAACGACAACCACCACAACTGCATCCACCACAATTGCATCAATCGCTGCAACAGCCACAACAACTGCAACTATAAATAAAACAAACGCTCATACACAACACCTACCGTCAGCATCCACTCGATCGATCATCTTCTTCAAATCTGCCGCTGTTGGCTTTTCGCCTAGTGATCTCATGACCTCTCCAAGCTCGTTGCTGGTGATCGTGCCGTCGCCATTTTTATCAATCAAGTCGAAGGCTTCTTTGTATTCTGTTCAAATAGGATAAACTCTTTATCTACATACTCTATTGCTGCTGTTGCTGCTGCTACTTCTCCTCCTCCCCTACTACTACTAAAACAACTGCTGCTGCTGCTACTTCTCCTCCTCCTCCTCTCCAACTACTACTACTACTACTACAACTGCTGCTGCTGCTACTTCTCCTCCTCCTCCTCCCCTACTACTACTACTACTAAAACAACTGCTGCTGCTGCTACTTCTCCTCCTCCCCTACTACTACTAAAACAACTGCTGTTGCTGCTGCTACTTCTCCTCCTCCTCCTCTCCTACTACTACTACAACTGCTGCTGCTGCTACTACTACTACTACTGCTGCTACTGCTAGTACTACTACTCCCACTACTGCTGCTACTACTACTACTACTACTACTACTACTGCTACTACTACTGCTCCCACTACTACAACTACTGCTACTACTAGTACTACTACTCCCACAACTGCTGCTGCTACTACTACTACTGCTGCTGCTACTACTACTACTACTTCTGCTGCTGCAGCTACTACTACTACTGCTACTACTAGTACTACTGCTCCCACTACTACTGCTGCTGCTACTACTACTACTACTACTACTACTGCTGCTACTAGTACTACTACTCCCACTACTGCTGCTGCTACTACTACTACTACTACTACTACTACTACTACTACTACTACTACTACTACTACTACTGCTGCTAATACTAATACTACTATTCCCACTACTACTACTACTGCTACTACTAGTACTACTGCTCCAACTACTGCTGCTGCTGCTACTACTACTACTACTGCTACTACTAGTACTACTACTCCCACTACTACTACTGCTGCTACTAGTATTACTACTCCCACTACTGCTGCTGCTGCTACTACTACTACTAGTGCTACTACTAGTACTACTACTCCCACTACTACTACTACTGCTACTAGTAGTACTACTACTCCCACTACTACTACTACTGCTACTTCTAGTACTACTACTCCCAGTACTGCTGCTGCTGCTACTAGAACTACTTTTACCATCACCACTGTTGCTGCTAGTCCTAACTGTGTATGTGACCTACGGCAGAATATTTAAGCCTAAGGCGAGAAAAAGATGGATAGATCATGGGGCTGAATCCGACAAACAACAATAACAACACAAGTGTCGGTTCTGGGGCGCAATTGTAGAAGAAAAAGAACAAACCCACTTCTTTCCTAACAAGCATGTCGTAAAAGACGACCACTAAGGAGTTGTCATATTGAATTTGCATGAGAAGCCAGGAGTCAGCAGTCTGCATACAAATAAGCTAGATCTGAAAAACGGATGTGCATGCAAAAATCAAGTTCTGGAACAATCCTAAAGACCAACAATGGACGAACAGCAAGAACTTTCCGCAGGGGTTTGCAGCCAGTGAACGCTAAAAGAAGAAGAAAAATCTCGGAACTCGATGAATGAAACCGTCACCTAAGCCTCGCAACAGGCGTGAGATCACGACGGGATTTTTTTCTATAGACGGAAAAAGTAAAATGCCGACGTGCACAGGCCGTGGCGACTGCACTAATCATGAGGCCCTAAAACTTCAGGCCAACGACCCCCACTCCCTGTCCTATATGACTCCCACAACCCTGCTCTACATTGTCCTTGAAGTAGTAAATTCAGACAATAAAGAAAATTTAAACATTTTACAACTGCCTCTCTCTCTCTCTCTCTCTCTCTCTCTCTCTCTCTCTCTCTCTCTCTCTCTCTATCTATCTATCTATCTATCTATCTATCTCTCTCTCTCTCTCTTTCTCTCTCTCACTCTCTCTCTCCCCTTCTCACACGTTTTACTCGGTGCTTTCAAGGATTATTTTTAAAGTTTCTTTATAAATTATGTTGTTGCCAAGCCACCAGAATCTTTGAGTTTTGAATATTCTCAGATGTTTTTTTTTTTTTTTTATAATTAAATCTGTATTTACTGTGTAACTTTTTTGTGTCGTCTATATAGTCCTTTAGGATTGACCTCACGTTAAGCATTGTCTGTATATACAGACAATGGCCACGTTACACATCAATGATTGTTTAGGTTCAATCCAGCTGTGCTACAGACTGTGCAATAGTAGGTCTAGTTTGTTAAGCTTTTCGGAACTGTGATAGGTTTGTAGCTGTGCTACAGTTCAAAAGTAGGTAGTTTTTTGTACCCCACTAGAACATCACACAAGCGATCAACACCCGGTGACACAAAGTGTCCACCATGCGGATGAGGATCACCAGTGGAGAGATCCCAGAAACCCCTTTCAGCCTTTGGGCCAAATCTATGCCCCGGCCCTCGGCAGAAGCTTCAAACAAAAAAGTGCATCCCACATGATGATGTTTCGACGACAATTCAAAGACTGAGATATTCAAAATCACACATCTTACATAGAAACTAAAGAAGCTAAACATTTGAAACATACAAATCTACAATAAAACTTCTCATACATAGGAACATGAGACTGAAACCAAACCTAATGTTTTATTTCTGACCTGTGTGATACGTCAATGAATCAGTCACATGCACAAAAATCTACATTTTGAAAGGTTAAAACCATAAATAACAAGAAGAAAAGAGTATTTCATTGACTGCAGCACGGACCCCTACAAACCACATTTTCCCAGACATGTTTCTCTATTTACACATGTCAACTGAAACCTCAAAATAGATAACAAATTTTTCTATTTACTTTTTTACTCTACGTTAAAATAGATAATGGTCCTTTGTTAACTTTTTACTGCCGGATAAAACAAATAACGATTCTCTATGTACATTTGTGTCCCCTTGTACAAACAAAAATTCTTTCCCTTCGTAAGTTTCCGTTAGTTGAACTAAGAGTTGCCTGCCCTGTACAAACATCCACGTACCTGCGATTTGTTCCTTGGTGAGTTTGGAAGCCTGAAAGACAAGTAACAAGAACACACAGTTTACTTAAAATGCAAGATGTAAAGCCTTTTTGTAACATGATGTAAGCGATGGTGTATCTGAGAAAGCAAACTCACTGGGTGAAGAGGTTCTCGTTTTCCTTATGTATTCACTAGCTTCGTTTTCTGTATGTTTGCCCCTCTCCCTTTCCCCCTTCCACCGGGCTGCTACGTGTCTGACACTCCCGCAGCTTCAAGAGTAACATGCCGGATGGCAACACAGCAGGGCAAATTCCAGATCCCCATTCTACCTCTAAGAAAGTTATAATTAGGGTACCGAAGCGGTTTCACCAAATCCTGCCCTTATGTTCCCTCCGCTGTCGAAAGTGGGTTAGGAAAATATCAACCAGATCCTTACCGGAAAGGGGCATGAGGGTACGACCACTTTTGGTAAACGGTCTAGAAAGACCGACTTCTTAAGTCACGATCTAGCCCTAAACGGGTACAAGGGAAAGTCATGTGAAGTAAAAGCGGCAAGAGTGATGCTGAACACACCACCAACCATGTGCCGATTGGTCTATAGAATATAGTTCTAGTCCTATATTCCTAATTTGCCTGGCGATGTTAAAATGGTTCTTTAACGTACACCTTACTTGTACACCTTTTGTCGAAAGTGTGAGCAAAAAACCTTTCACATTCAGTAGAAAACATTCGCTAGAATTTGCTTACCCAAGCCCTCGCTTACAGTATTGTGACTGGCCCCAGAAAGCCCAGAGAATGAAGACAACTGGTACAGGCAAAATGCGCCACCGTAACGTTGTATAAAGGAGATTCCGAAACGGTTTTCATGATTGAACCGTACCCAAAGAAAGAAACCAAGCGCTAGCTCATGGCTTACTTTACTCAGGGGCCATACTTTTGAAAATGGGGATCATCCCGAGCCAGAGGCTCTAGCCCCACCAAATAAAGGTTATTGATGCAATACAATGGGCAAGGATCTGCTAGCCACTTTTTAGGCCTTTGCTAGATTGAGCCCACAGGCCGCTTGTTGAAAAGCTCCGTATTGCTCCCGACTGATCACCTGTTGTCATCAAATAAATGTTTGTTGATAACTTAACAACAATAAGAAAGAGACAAATACTGTTTTTTGACTACATAATGAGAAGAGACACATTGGAGAACATCGTGACAACTGGAAAGATCAGTGGAGAAAGGGTTAGAGGCAGACCAAGAGAGATGATGCTAGTTGGGCTGAAACGATAGCATGTAGGGATATCATCAAGAGAGCTGTTCCAGGAAACCTGGGATCGTGGTCTGTGGAGACACACGAACGCTTACGCCACTTGGCAGGGCACATGATGATGAAAGCTTAAACAAGAACACTAAATCAGGTTTCGCCAGGCTAATGTAGCCTTTATGTGGCGCCCCAGTTATAATTTCTTATGATGTTGAACTGGGTACCTAGGAAATACACGTTCGACTTGCCATCCCGACTAAGATTGTTGAATCTCAGGGAGATCAAATCTTTAAGTGCCAGCGGGGAGGGGATAACGGACGGAAAATGGGTTAAGTTGTGTATGTAAAGAACTCAATTGGTTTGGCTTCACAGTCTTATCTACGTACAGTGGCTACATTATGTGATTATGTTGCCAACAGTCTTTCATCTTGTCACACGATGAGGACTGCTTTGTTTGTTTTCTATCTTTCCAGGATATTCTTCGCATTCTTCTCAGAAACCAAATCTCTGTGGCGAGTAAATGTTTTACAGCGTGTCTGCTTGCTGTCCATATTAGTAAATAGATAAGCCTGAACAAGAACATTGATTCCAGATCTTGACTGGTTTCAGTCGCGGTCTGAGTTTTGAAATGTGTTCTGTGCGAACAATCTTTAAATTATCTAGTTGCAGAAATAATACCTATCTTCGCAAAGTTGATAATTACAGCAGCGACAATGTATCTCCACAGATCTCGACCCCTTGCCCTTAGGATCAGCTCCACCGATGATATTCCCCTGCGCCACCGTCGCAATCCACATGTCATCATCTCTGTCGGTCTACGTATACCTCTTCTACGGTTGTTGATCTTTCAAATCGTCCCAATATTCTCCAAAGCTTTTTTCCTCATCACAGATTCGAAGAACAGTGCTTTTCTTTTTCTTACAGCTCTATGCATTTATCTTTTCCCCCCTCCCACTAGCTTCTTTCAAGCAATCCTCGTTAGTTACTTAGGCAGTCCAGGGGATCCTTAACATTCTTCTGAGAAACCACTTAGGTGTCACCTTCAAGTTCTTTCTGATTTGATAAAGTGTGCAGTACATATATCTTGCCAGATTTTTTTCATCTTCATGGTGCACGTGACAATTAACGTTACACACCACGCGTCGTTGTCTACACACAAACAGTGATCATACATGGCCTGCTACTTAGAATAGAGAACTTACAAGTCCTTGTTTACTTGGTTGCTGACGCGGTGCTCATAATTTCAAATCGTCTTCATTTTCTTACAGTCTATGCCGTGTGGTGTTAAAAAGTCATGTCTATTCGAAATCTTCTGTCTTATGTACTTTCAGTTATTTCTGACACTGAAGATCTTCCATGCCATGCTGTCAAACAGTTCAGCATCTTCTCTCAGTCTCCCATTATCTCTCCCCCCGCCCCCCTAGTTTTCCAACCGTCACTATGTGCTCCAATGTTCCCCCTCTCACGATATAACCAAAGAATGTAGATTGTCTCCTTAAAGGTAGGAAATCAGTTCTCTTCTTTTACAAGACATCTTCATTGCTCTTTTTATGTGTCTAGAATGTTCTTATCACTTGTCTATACAATTGGTCAACTATCCATGATGCACTTCTATATACCAGGACAGGATTTATATAGCTTTTGAGAATTCATCTGCCGAAGTTAACTTATGTAATCCAATCGTTTCTTCTTCTTCTTCTTCTTCTTTTTCTTCTTCTTCTTCTTCTTCTTCTTCTTCTTCTTCTTCTTCTTCTTCTTCTTCTTCTTCTTCTTCTTCTTCTTCTTCTTCTTCTTCTTCTTCTTCTTCTTCTTCTGCTTCTTCTTCTTCTTCTGCTGCTTCTTCTTCTTCTTCTTCTTCTTCTTCTTCTTCTTCTTCTTCTTCTTCTTCTTCTTCTTCTTCTTCTTCTTCTTCTTCTTCTTCTTCTTCTTCTTCTTCTTCTTCTTCTTCTTCTTCTTCTTCTTCTTCTTCTTCTTCTTGGCTTTCATCGTCTTTAAACTCCCGCGGGAAGTTCTGGTTGTTTGTCAATTTCTAAGGTTTGGTCTTGATGCAGAACTTGAGTGGTGCGTGCACATCCTTTTTACATCTGGTTAATTTGTGTACAGACAGCTGCCTCCATGCCACTTAAGCAGATGCACTTCGACATTGGAGGAAACAAAATAATCAGTATCCGGTTTAGGATTTTTGGTTTACAAATGGTATACATTGTAATATTGTATCTATTACTATTTAAGTCACTTGAGCTTTGTGTGGTTGTTGCTCTAAGACCACCTAACACTCCAAGAGTAGTGAATACAACGAGTGATATGTGTTCTTTCTTAAACAATCATATCTTTCACAAACATTTTTATATCACACATAATCTAAAGTATAATCGTTTTCAATGTCGTATGGTGAAAGCTATTTGCTTTTCAAAACATACTCTCTATCCTTTTCTTATAATTCTCTCTATATGGTATTTGATATGATATATTTATCTTCTTATAATCTAATCAAAAAATTAAAACTCCCTCTTTCTGGCGTCTGCGACACGTTTCATAGCCGCGTGTTAAAACATACTCTAATCATGTCTGTCCGTCTGTCCGTCCGTATGTCTGTCTGTCCGTCCGTCTGTCTGTCTGCCTGCCTGCCTGCCTGTCTGAATGCCTGTCTGCCCGTCCGTAATTTGCCTGCATGTTTGTTTGTGTATCTGTTCCTCATTCCATCCATTCTCCCAACTATCCATCCATCCGTCCGCCTGTCAGCCCCCCCCCCCCCCCCCCCCCACACATACACATACAAACGCTTATGCCATAACTTACATACACCAAGACTTTATCACTATGATACTTGAAAAGGGATTTTCATTTTGTTTATAAAGAACTAAATCTCGCTTTGTTGTATTCTAATACAGTCTATTATAAGCGTACTTTTGGGTGCTCAAGTTTCACACACTGACACTCGGTTAATTTAGCGTTAAAAAAAAAACCCTATAGGAAATGCTATAACAAGATTTAAATATAGCGTTATCCCCTGCTGTTCATAATCAGTTGTCTATTTTTAATTGCCTATTCTAAACGCACGAAAAAAAAAAAATATGAATCGACCACATTCGAAAAATGAAAAGCAACGACGAAATTCATAATCTGTTTAAATCATAATTGATCTTTGGCATCATGAGAGCTACAAGACTGAATGGCTGCGGTATAGTAAGAGAATATCAGATGACAGAGAGGTAACAACTGTATGTATACACAAGGGAGATGAATGGTCGTAGACTACGAGGTAGACCAAGAAGACCATGGAGAGATGGTGTCTAGGGAGACCTGCAAACATTTGATGCTACCAAGTAGAAAGAGAAGGCCAACCAGAGAGCTGAGTGAAGGGGGTGATAACTGCAGCAATAAACCTCAAGGGCTCGGAATGCTGAAAAAAAAAAGAAAAAGGAAAGAAGAAGAAGAAGAAGAAGAAGAAGAAGAAGAAGAAGAAGAAGAAGAAGAAGAAGAAGAAGAAGAAGAAGAAGAAGAAGAAGAAGAAGAAGAAGAAGAAGAAGAAGAAGAAGAAAAAGAAGAAGAAGAAGAAGAAGAAGAAGAAGAAGAAGAAGAAGAAGAAGAAAAAGAAGAAAAAGAAGAAGAAGAAGAAGAAGAAGAAAAAGAAGAAGAAGAAGAAGAAGAAGAAGAAGAAGAAGAAGAAGAAGAAAAAGAAGAAAAAGGAGAAGAAGAAGGAGAAGAAGAAGACCATATTCAACCTGTTGCAAACAGCTTTCGCTCTCAGCAGTGTTCGGTTATAGTTGTGGTCTGGGTTTTTACCTACTTTAACAATGTTGAATGTTTCTTTCTACCATTAGGGAATTTGTCGAGGTCAAGAAAAATTAAAAGCAATAATAAACTTTAACTCTTTAATTCTTATGTCAAATCAGTACTTTTAAGGGGTGGAAACACGGAGAACAACTAAGGCAATTAATAATAAATTACAGACATTCATTAACTGGTGCCTGCGCAGAATAGACGGAATTAAATGAAATGATAGAATCACTAATGTAGAGCATTGGGATAGAACTAAACAGGTTCCAGTGGACCAAGAGGTGAGGAAAAGACGCTGGCGTTGGATAGGACACACATTGAGAAAACCGGAGAACAATATAACTAGAATGTCTTTGCATTGGAGCCCACAAGGGCTTAGGAATAAAGGAAGGCCCCATAAAAAAAGGAGCTGAAAATAAAGTAAGAAAGAGGGAGAGAACATGGAGAGAGCTGCTTGCGATAGCAAATGATAGAACAACATGGCGTTAGTTGGTTGAGGACCTATGCTCCAATGGGAGCTAGAAAGGCAGAAGAAGAAAGAAAGACTCATGTTTATAGTGAATTTACATATTGTACTTAAAATCCTTCAGTGTGCCATTGAAAATCGTTCCACGTTCCAAACATGAGAGAAGTGCCAACGGTTTTTGACACTTGATCTAGTACTGTTTATTTTTCTTAGTGTAACGACTGTCAACCTCGACGGAAATTTATGGTTGCTCGTCCACTTCTGAACGTTGCTATCATGCCAGAACTTGAGCTTTGCATGCTTGGCTTATTTGCATGTAAACTATTGGTTCCTTTCTTCTCAGACAGATGCACTCCGACTAGAAGGAAACGTGCCCAATTAGTCGCTTTCTGGGTAGTAGCCCCCCCCCCCCTTCCCTCCACCCCCCCCCCGGTCAGCTCACACACAAAAAGGGGCCCCAGAACCAAAAGAATCTAGTGCAATGTTCTTCAAAGGGGGTCCGCGGACAAGTATCGGTACGCGAAAATCTCCAGTGGTCCGACAACCGTTTCCACTCAGTCATGTAGTCGATGCATCACTGTGGCTATATTTCCGCTAGGCTAACAAGACGCTGCATGCGACAATGTGGCGAGTGAAATATTGACCATATCAGTAATAATATCATAGGAGCCGAAACAATTGTATTTCAGTATTTCATGTATAAGAAACAACATCCCCCTACATATATCACATTTTTTTTTTTTTACTCCGAGTAGCAGCCGATGGCCGTTTCACTAAAATTTTTAACTTTTTAGTATGATTTCAATCTAAAATTGTATCTACGCGAAGTGCGGTTCCGTGTTTTTGAGGTTAAGGAAATCGCTTCATAGTCCAATATTCGACGTACGAGGGATCGGTTTCTAATACTCGCTATTTAGAAAAACACTGTTCTAGTGACTTTTAGATAGTTATATGAGAGTCACACTGTGAAAGAGAAGGGGACTTCACCATATAATCAAAGACAGCATCAAGTGTAGTGTAGATAACCTTCATTATAAAGACAGCACACACTGGGGATAGGGTGGGGTAGGGGGTAGATTAATTGTCCCATTAACAAACATCTTGTAAACGTCGACCTGTGTTTCCTTTAAGTCTGAGTGCATTTGCATGAGAAGCGAAAAACCAACAGTCTGTATACAAATAAGGTTGATCTGTAAAACGGACGCACAAGTTCTAAAACAAGGCTAAATTCCACGAGTCGGTCTTCTTCTTGGTATACCGGCCGTAAGCTCCCCCGGAAAGTCCTGTTTGTTCGTAGATTTTGGCTTTGTGCCAGCGCCTGAGTTTTGCGTGTACATCCGTTTTACTGGCTTATTTGTGTGCAGCTGATTGTTCCTTCCTGCTCCGGCAGATGAACTCCGACTTCGAAGGAAGATCCCAATAAGTCCATTCACACGACTTGCTTATTGCTGAGACTGTGGGTCTATTCTTGTTTTCTCCACAAGGAGGTCCCCACGGGGAATCAGAAGTGGACGAACAACCAGAACTTTCCGGTTTACAGCCAGTGAACGTTAAGAAGAAGAAGGAAAGTTTCTACTAGGTCGTCACCTGGTCCAGCAAGACGTATCTCATAATTTACCGCTCTGCGGGTGTGAATGGCGTTAAAGCACCCCAGTCTAGCCCAGAATTCCCCCTAGACAAGAAGTGCTAACCACAACATAAAATGCGACCAGAAAGCTCAACATAGGGGATGGAAATGAGGCGCACAAATACAATCGAACGTTTCGGCCAAAATCTTCATCAACGGAAAAATAAATACAACATAAACTGTGACTAGGGTAACTCAGCGGAGAATAAAACAGAGCTTTTAAACAATCGAGGTCAACATGAAACCAAGAAATACAATATTGGGGGAAGGGTATGGATAGGCAGTACTATATTACGAAACAAAATAAGTAAGAAGGCTTTGAAAAAAAAAAAAAAAAAAGACAAGGAAAAATATAAACAAGTTAAAAATAAATTAGGTAATGTAACAAATTTAAAGTCATCCTCTTAGTCAAGCTGACGTAGTTTTCAATCTTTATTTGTTTGGTGCTGATGAAAGCGCCCCCCCCCCCTCCTTTCTCACCTTTTCCAATTGATGTTATGTTTTAATTGGAAGCTGTGACTGATTCTGTTTCACGCTTGGGCTGAGGTTTTTATGAAAAACTGGTGGCCTGCAGACTGAGAAGCTGCAGTCGACGTATGTCAACATTCCTCGGTGAAACCTGAATGCAAGTTGTTTGCTAGTAGACTGAACAAGAAAGAAAGTTCAACTTGCCCATCCTCTGCGCCCAAAGGTAGTTTTATAAATGTATTAATGTCACAGTCCATTGGTTTATACTCTGGGAATGTGTGGTTTATTAACTAGTGAATCGTGTCGTGCGTTTGGGCTCTGTGGTCTGAGAGGCCATAGGGTGCTTGGAACAGTACTTGTGGTGTCCATGCGTGGGAAAAATAAACTGACGAATACTCCAGCTTTTAGACAAGGAAGAGAAACGTGGGATAGCCAACTTTAATGGAAATGTTTGTTTCCTGCATTGGCGGTTAAAATTTTAAAGTATTTGCTACATAAATTATAATTACATATTACATTATACCAATTGAAAAAACAGTTTAATTTGTAATTATTCCGAGTAGGTTAAGGGACCGTATTTTATGGAGTTTAAACGAATAGGCCAATTTCCATAAGAAGCATGCCGTAAACGGTGACAAATTACAAATTTGTTGAAATCCAATCGGGTGGGTAGAAAGGAACAGATATCAAAGCCTTGCTGTATACCCCAACATATCATACCAACCCCTTTTTTTTCAGGGCAGACAAAGAAGAAGGTAGAGGAGAAGAAGAAGGTGAGAAGGAATATGTAATTGTCAGGTAGTGTCTGTTTTGTGGAAATTCAGAAAGAGACAGGCACAAATAAACAGTGAGAAAAATAGAATGAGAGAGAGAGAGAGAGAGAGAGAGAGAGAGAGAGAGAGAGAGAGAGAGAGAGAGAGAGAGAGAGAGAGAGAAAGAGAGACTGGGAGAGAGAGAGAGAGAAGAGTGGGAGAGATGATCTGACAAAATATCAAGGGAAAAGAGAGATGCAAACATAGGCGAAGAGTTATTTATAATGTTCTGCAATGTGTGTTTTTCTGTTTGTCTTTAACCACCCCCACACCCCCCCCCTTTTTTTTTTCCCCCGTCATTTCAAACACACACGAGACAACCTACAGAATATTATAAAACATATGAACTTGATTGCAGCAAAGATGTGATAATAAATTTAAATTGCAGAATCAGAAAAACATGTTGAAAAGAAACTCACCATTGTAAACTAAGCCGGTTTCTTGTTTGGCAACTAACAAATCTGAACTATTCCGCGAGCCGATGTCGACACACTAAATTCAATGAGTGTAGAAAATGTAACGTCCAGTTTATCTTACATATATAACTGCCGCACTTGTTCTTGCATAGCCAACACAGGAAACTTGATAAAGACACAAAAGTTAGTATGAATTAAAATACAAAACTTGCAATAAATAAATGAAGAGGTGATAGGCTGGATTTTGGAGTCGCCGTGGCAGAGCGGCTAGACGCGCACAGCGGATCGGAAGGTCATGGCTTCGCTCCCCGGCCGAGCCGGACTTTTCTTCAAAAATGACCTTGGCTGCCAGGTCAACCCAGTCTTGAGTGGGTACCGGGTGCAGTCCCGGGAAGTAGAGGCGGCCGGCGTGATGCTGACCACATCACCCATCTTGTGCCGTTGGTCTACAAAAATATAGGGCTAGCCCTGTATGCCCTATACGCCTGAAGGCGTGATAAAAGGGTCCTTTACTTTTTTTATTTACTTATGCTGGATTTTTCGAAATTAGAAACATTATCTTTTGCCGTGACAGTTAACGTTTGATTGCCAAAGAAAGTGAACTGAACAATCTCGCATTTTCATTGTGTAGGTTCCAGGGACCCATTGTGGGGGAATACAAGAACAGACCTACTGACCCCCTAACAAGCATGTAAGAAAACTATTTAGGGGGTTCCTTAGAAGTCGTTGCGCATCTGCCTGAAGGGCAAAGAACCAACAGTCTGCAAACAGATAAGTCAGATCTGTAAAAATGATGTGCACGGAAAACTCAAATCCTGGAATAAGACTGAAGTCCAGAAGTGGGCGAACAACCAGAACGTTCCAGCGGAGCTTACAGCCGTTAAACGCGAAGACGAAAATGAAGAAGAAAAAAAATATCAAGCCCTTCATTTCTGTCATAACAAGTCATTGATGTGAAAATGCAAATTAAATTCGTGAAAATAATATTCTCATATAACTTTAAACCTCTCATTGTAATTAAATAATATAATGTATGTTACTAAAACAAACAAACAATTATTTCACAAATACACAATTTTAAAACTGGAATGGATTCATACACACGCTTACTATAAGCCGTTCAACGAAATAAACTTTTTTGAAATAAAATAAAAAAGTCTTGAAGTATTCTGCAAATACTCCGCCACGCTGTCCTACTTTGGGAAGTTTGACAATCCAGAACAAGAAATATAGCCTTATCTGGACAGAATACAATTCCAAGTCATGTCCCACTGACTGCGGTATTTATGAACCCTCACCTAAGCCTCGGTCAAATCAAATACCTGGTTACAAGTTCACATTCTCTTTCTGTTTGTTCAGTTCAACCGGTCTGCCTAATTTTTTATTTTCAGTTCTATTTTTGGATGTAGAATAAAGCAGAAACGGGTTCAGTGTAGGACTGACATAAACGACGCAGAAAACATAGAAACGAACCGCACTTTAATTGTCAACTCTTGTAAAGGAAATATCCGTTTTAAGCCAGTAGCATATCCGGCACGTGGTAGTGGATACATCTGAATAGGTTAGTTGCGTATCCTTTACAGGACGTTGCAGAACCAACCCCAACAGCCCCTGGCTGTTGTGTGGTTTTTTTTTTCTAGGCAAATTTACGCCCAGTAGTTTGTCATTGCTTCCTGGACGGTCGGCTTTCTTGATACCACTGTCGAAACCAACGTAAGGCGCATGGCTCGCAGCTGGGATCAACCCGGCATTACGAAGCGTTCGCATCGACTTAGCCACAGAGCCATTTGAATAGTCAATAACAGATGGGTACCATCACTCTAAACCCCTCGACTTCCTTAGTCAATGTTAGTATGCTGTCACCGAAACAACAAGGATGCTTGAGGACAGAGACATCAAAGAGTTCAGTCTTGCCATCTTGTGTGACTGCATGTCAACCCTACAGGCCTAACAAAGAGAACCACAAGATAACATGGAACGGAGATGGCCTGTCAACTCAACAAACTCTAAGATACCAACCTGGTTGTGCTACAGTGGATCCCAGCACATTGTGACATCGTTGTTGGTCCATTTCAAGTTGCGAAGACCAATTTGTAACCAAATTTAATAATGATCAATGATTGTGAAGACATGGAACACTGCACTGAAGATTGCACAGGACAGGAAAGCATGAAAAGTCCTGTCTAAAGCCTCGTGTGCCACTAGGTATGACGAAAACTGATGAATGATTGTGAATTCAAAGACGACTGATGAGTCCAATTTAAGCACGGAAGTTCTTGACGAAAGTTCGTGACCAGTGTGGACAACAGATGGAAGCGGCAACTAAGGTTGGCTTTCTAGACGGTTCTGTCGGGTCTGCCACCGTTTCTCTCGCAGAGCACACTCCGCTGCCTGACAGGCGGATTGACCATTTCTGAAGCCTGTATGCCATCCAGATCGTTCTTGTGTAACAGGCTGCCCTGATTCTGTCTGGATGCCAGATAATGTCCTTGTAGCGTCTGTGTTTTTCTGTCCACATGGGAATCTCCGTGCCGAAGTTAACCAAACCATCAAATAACATAACCCTTGACCTGTTGGGGTCGTGGAGTGTATCGATAAAAGCTCTAGCACACAAAAACCCGCCATCTTGTTCTGTCTTCTGTTTGACAGGCAACTGTATAATAATTTAGTTCTGTCACTTTCTTAATGAAGCCATTCCAGGTTCTTCTCTCCCCCTCTCCCATTTTTTTTTCCATTTTATTTGACTACTCCCCTCCCCCGCTTCCTCTACACACACAAACACACAATGTTCCTCGAAGTCTTTGCAATCGAATCATGTCTCACTGCGTGCCCGACTCAAACTAACTTGCGACATTTCACTATTGTCAAAAAAGGCTCCTGGTGACCTGCACATTTGTTGTGTGGTTTTGTGTGTGTGTGTGTGTGTCCATCATACATAAAATATTCATTCTGAAGCCGAAGGACTGGCGTGTGGTTTAGGTGACCACCCCAATCGATAGGGTGTTTCTTCAGTGGTTTGTGGGTGTTTGGCAGATTCGCTATCACTCAGGATGCTGATTAACTGTTACATTTCACACGCATAAAGTAGTTTTGGTAAAACTGTGTAAACCCTCAGCCTTGTGACTGTGGCATAGCAGAAGAAAAGATGGTGGATAAACTGGCCAGGGAACAGTAGGAAAACAGCACCTCCCTCCCATATCCCTTTCGCTTTTGATGCCAACGGTGTCGCTGCCATTTCATCACCGCTGCAGGACTTCTCTGCTCACGTTCTCGTCCTAGGTACAGGTCTCGTGATTACCAATATTGTTGTTGTCATTGTTTTAATCCCTGCTACACTGCAATTTGAAGATGTGCACCACTAGGACATGAATGATTCATGTATGGAGGTCGATTCGTGAGAACAGAATATATCAGGCCGATTTTCATGTAAACAAAGAGTTGAGGGGGGGGGGGGGGGGGGGGGGGGGGCGGGAGTGGTCAGGAAGGAAATAGTGCTAATGGAGAAAACTGCAGATTAAGAGCTGAGTATCTTAAAAACAAAATCGGGTTTAGAAATGCATGCGATGTCAACAGTTGTTCTGAAACTCAATGCTCTGTTTGTGGAAGACTTAAGGCAAGAGGGTTAAGATAGTCTCACTCGCCATTGTCGTTTCCTGTCATTCCCGCGGCACCCCGGAGCAGAGTATGACATAAATGACCGGCTAGAATTAGGGCTGCCGAATTTTTTCTGGAAACAGTACCACATTTTTAAAGGTATCAAAACACACCAAAAGGTACACAATTTTTAAATTTAAAAGAATTAAAATATTTTGAGAAAACACACACACACACACATCATCATCCTCAGGTGCCTTGCCAACTGGCGTGGGCGATCATGCCTCTCCATAATTTGCGATCTCCTGCAGCATGTATTAGTTCGTGTGCCGACACACCTCCATGCCATGCAACAAGACTGTCAAGCATCTTCTCTCGTTGTATTCCTCTATCCCTCCTTCCACAGATCTTTCCAGTGGTCACAACACGTTCTATTTTCCCTCTTCTCATAACATGACCGAAAAATGATGACTGTCTCCTTCTGATGTCTGTGATAAGTTGTCTTCGGGCTCCCGCCTCCTTCAAAACCTCTTGGTTGCTCTTTTTGGCTGTCCAAGGTATTCTAAGCATTCTTCTGTAAAACCACACATCTGAGGCCTCAAGAAATTCGTTGGCCTGCCTACCGTTGATACACACACACACATATATATATATATATATATATATATATATATATATATATATATATATATATATATATATATATATATACATATATATGCACGTGTGTGTATTTGATCAGAATAATATATATATATATATATATATATATATATACATATATATGCACGTGTGTGTATTTGATCAGAATTGAAATTGTGTGTCCATTACAGCATTGATGTACCATTTGTCTGCTCGCTCAGCTTGTTACACAGCTGCTGTGGCCACTTCCATTTTTCAATGCATTTTTTGTCAGGGTTCTCAGGGATAAGCGATTTTTAAAAAAACCCTTATATTGTTAAGTAAAAAGAAAAACTAAAACGTAACAAAACATCAAGCGTGGTATCAAAAGTACAGTTTTGCTTGGTAAGTAAAATAGTACAAAATGTGTACGTCAAAAACCAATTTCGGCAGTCTTGGCTAGAATCCACATGACAATATGTGCAGTACTTAGCTACATGGCTTCAAAAGGGCAAAGAAGGAGAATGGGGCAGTAGAAGCAGGAGAGGAGCAGAAAGACAGGCAGAGGGCGGGTGGAATGCGGACAAAAGGAACAACAACACAGCTATCGAAAATAGCTATGTCTATCTATCTATCTATCTATCTATCTATCTATCTATCTATCTATCTATCTATCTATCTATCTATCTATCTATCTATCTATCTATCTATCTATCTATCTATCTATCTATCTATCTATCTATCTATCTATCTATCTATCTATCTATCTATCTATCTATCTATCTATCTATCTATCTATCTATCTATCTATCTATCTATCTATCTATCTATCTATCTATCTATCTATCTATCTATCTATCTATCTATCTATCTATCTATCTATCTATCTATATATATATATATATATATATATATATATATATAGAGAGAGAGAGGGGGGGGGGGGATATCCTCAAGCTAAACAAGAAAAACACAATCTGAAATCGCTTAATAACACAGAATGCCACAGTACAAAATACCCAATTAACACTTGAGGCTGGATGCAATTAGCACCCAGCAAGGGTCGACCCAGCCTATGGTTAAGTTTTGGGTTCACCAACAGATTATTATTATTTACCTTAGTAAATTGGGGGGGACGTGTCGCAGTGATTTGTTTACATAGCTGTCATCAATGTGGTCGTAGGTTTGATTCCCCAGAAAGACAAGTCTTCTGTTTCAAGTTCACCGGCTGTAAACTCCGGCGGAGCGTTCTGGTTGTTCGTCCACTTCTGGGCTTTAGTCTCATTGCAGAACTTGAGTGTTGCGTGCACATCAATTTAATAGACATGGCGTGTCTGCACAGCCCGGCGCGCTAGCTCAGTTAGTTAAATCAGCCTGCGCGGCGATCGGGTGACAAATTGCTGGTGGTCCAAATTCGCGTTTGGGAGTTGGGCAGAAAAGCCCATTATTTTCCATCCCAGATTTATAGAATCTATCATGGAATTAAGGCCGAAGGGCTGTGATATCTATAGTAACAAGCCAAAGGGTTTACAAGTCCTGGATTTTGGACAATTGCAGAAAAAAAAATTTGTGCGCAGAATTTTGGGCTCCTTGCCTCTCTGGTAGATGCACTCAGACTTCGAAGAAAACCCTTAATTGGTCGAATCTTATGACATTCTTTTTGGGGAGGCAGTGGGTTTATTCTTGTTTTCCCCCACAATAGGACCCCGTCACCCACACGGGGAGAGACAATATTGACTTCCTTTATCTTATTAAAACATGAAAGTTACCATAACATGATTTTGAAAAAAGGGGCCCCAGTAATGCTTCCACGGAGCCATACTGTGGGGGGGGGGGGGGTTGTCAACCTTCCCCTAGCAAGCATGTCCTAAAAGACAACTAATTAACTGAAGGTTTGCTGAAGTTTGATATGTTGGCTAAAAGACCCAGACATCTTGGCCAATATTTTAGCTTAGGGTGTAGACGCTATACCTCTCTATCAGCAGTTTCTTTGTTTGGCTTTGTCCATTTGAGTCCTTTGTCAGTCAGGGACTGTCGGATGTTGTCTACCCAGCGTCAGGACAGGCCAAGACCATCAGATGCAGACGATCTTGGATAGGCGGGCAGCGATTCACTAAACAGGCACGCGTTTAGCCATCCATTGATTTATGAAAAACAAAACAAACAAAATAGGCAACGTTCAACCTACTGCGAGCAGTATCGGTTATAATTGTGGTCTAGTTTCTTTGTGCCCAATTATGTTGGCTAAGACATTTAGGGGTGAGGTGGGGGGGGGGCGGTGGAATAAGGAAATGTGAACGTCCAAGAGAAACCCTAAGACGAACGCTAATGAGGGAGGCCAAAGGTGCTTGACTGGATTTCACCCCTGACAGGACTGCAGGACTAGACTGTGAGCCCTATGTGACATATAATGGCATAACTGGATGATGATGATGATGGCTATATCCATGGTCTTTACAACAGTTTAAATTTTTGTTAATTATGGAGCCCATAGGAACTGTCGTGGTTTAGCAGCTAGACGCTCGCGAGAGGGAATGAGACTGAAGGAGAAAATGATTGCAGAAAGGATGAGAGCTGAGCGTCTGAAAAGAAACAGACTAAACACAAATGTTGACAACAATGGTCCTGAAATCCCATGCCATCATTGTGGAAGACTTTTTTTGTGTACACGGGCGGGTCTGGCTAGTCGCACTCGCCATGGGCATGGGCTGTGAGACCCATGCCCCCTCATAGCGCAATATAACACTATCGTCTGGACACACGAAAAGATGCCAATGATGAGCCCTGTATGCTGAATACACCCTAGGGCAAGGAAAAGGGCCATTCAGTTTACTTACTTTTTCTTTATGAAGCCAATTAATAACCCCCTTCATATTAATTATAATTTAGAGATTATAAGTGGGGGGTGGAAAGGAGGGTGGGCGACAGAAACAAGAGACCATAAAAGGTAATAACATGATTCACAACTCAACGCAATCAAAAGACAGTCAAGCCTGCGCAGTGAATCCTGCACGTCGAGGGTATAATTCTATGTAAGGTAAATAAAAGTAGGTAGGACATAAGTGAAAGTAGAACAGGTAAGGTTAAAATTCTGAGAGACGTAGAGTGTGTACAGAAAAGCTAGTGTCATATTGCGTCTAGTAATTTAGGCGGGCATTTGTGTCACTTCACTGTGTGCTGCCTGTGTGGTTTTTATTTGTTGAAGTTCAACTCTCTTGCTTCTGGGGTGCTCTGTGCCCAAGCCATTTGACTCGCACTTTGAAGGCCGTGGGTTTGCATCACGACTGTGTCGTTAGGTTCATGGGTGCAATTTTTAGATATTCCTAGGGATCATCACTAGAGCTTCAGAGTTCGTGTGATGCTCTTCCCCGTGTGGGTTCCGGGGCCCCATTCTAGGGAAAACAAGAACAGACCACTGCCTACCCAAAGCATGTCGTAAGAGTCGACTAATTGGGAGTTTCCATTGAAGTCAGAGTGAATCTGCCTGAGATGCAACCAACAGCCTGCACATACATGAGTCAGATCAGTCAAATGGATGCATATGCAACACTCAGGTTCTGAAACAGGACTGCAGTCCTGAAGTGGACGAACTTTTCGCCAGACTTTACAGCTGGTAAACGCGAAGAAGAAGAAGTTTGATGATCTGGGCAGGCGGCTAGCCATTCTTCAGAGAGACTGAGCCATATGGTAGAAAACTGAAGTGAAATGACGTCAATCCTCTCACTAACCGTATCTCTTCCAACTTGTTCTCTGTAATAGCCATTTTTTCTTCTTCAAGCGCTTGGTCTAGAACAATGTTTTCCAACCCTTTTAACTCAAAGCTGTTCCCTATGTGGGCACGAGGCCCCATTTTGAGATAAATAAAGTAACAGACCCACAACCTCCCTCCCCATTCCCCAAGAAGTATGTCTTAAAAGTCTACTCATCTGGGGTGTTTCCTTCAAAGTGAAAAGTACATCTCCATGAGAAGAACAGAAGTAACAGTATGCTCACAATTAACACTGATCTAGAAAATGGAAGCACATGCAAAATTCAAGTTCTGAAACAGGACTAAAATACAGAAGTGGATGAAATAACCAAAACTTTACACTGGAGTTTAGAACCGGTGAATGTGAAGTAGAAGAAGAAGTATAACAGCAAATGAGATGATTCAATATAGCTGGATAGCAACAACAGAGCATCAAGTCTGTAATTTATTGTCTAGTCCAAGACAGATTCCAAGAATCCAGCTGGTCTTTGTCAAAGTCTAGTCAGTAAACATCCGTGTCAACAGCTAGTTTAAATTAAACAACCCTAGTTTGTTAACACTGTTACACATAGTAAAAATACGTTTAATAACGAACAACAAGAACTGAAACAAAATATGTTTATTTGAAATTGTTTTTGAAAATTTAAAAAAAATTCTTGCAACGTATGAGATGAATGCAACAACTTCACATTTTAGATCACTCATGCCCGTGTGTGGGTCACCACAAACTTCTTGCAACGTACGAGATGAATGCAACAACTTCACATTTTAGATCACTCATGGCCTTGTGTGGGTCACAGAAAAAATTCTTGTAAAGTATGAAATGAATGCAACAACATCAAGTCTATCATCAACATCAAATTTTAGTTAAATATGGGTCCAATGATACGGTTCAGATATTACAGCTTAGCAGAAAATTACAACACACCGTACTACCTGCCACTTCAACCCCGTGACACAGAGAGGCACACAACCTGTGCTTCTCATTTGTGTCATGGCCCCCTAAATGTCCCTTGCCAGGTTTTCTGCAGGTGTTTGTTTGTGAAGAGCCCCCACTAACAGCACTGCTTCCGTGTGTTCCTGGGCCACTTGTTTGAAATGACTAGGAATGAGCACAGTTGCTAAAAACAGCATTTAGGTGGGAGGGGGCCTGCGGCAAGGTCACGGGCTTAAGAACAGGTCATGTTAAACACTTCTGTAAAGCTCACATAGACGTAACCCAGTTAATTATCTGCCAAATCCATGTTTACTGCCGAAATTTCAAAAATCACTGGGACAAATGGGTACAGGGGAACTCTGAAGAAGAAGCAGAGCAATCACTGATGAGATCTAAATGACACAGACATAATTACATCCTGGCATGTCTGATTGCCACAATGGCTTCTGCAGCGGCTTTGATGAGAAGACATAACTGGACGCTGTACTCAACGCTGGCCGTGTCCTTGAGTTCTTTACTGGCCCAGTCAATTTTCTCTAACAGCCTTGCTATCGGCAAGGCTACGAATGCAGAGGTTTCAGGTGATGATGACGCTAATGTTTGAGCACCAGTGTTGGCATGACTTGTCCTTTGCTGAGGAATGGACGATGTACGTGATTCTGCTAATGAGGGAAACCCAGAGTCTTGGGGATCTGTCTCAATGATTTCCTGTTTGATAAAGAATTCGGATGCTGCTGTAGCACCACAGAGTATTCTCTGTTGGTGGTCTGGATTCAGAGGCCAGTTTTGTGGCTGAGGGCTAGCGTACAGGCTGTGAGTGGTTTCAACATTAGCTGGGTAGACTTTCGGTCGCACGGCATCTCCTCCTGCTGGGCTCTGATAGTGCTGGGGAGTGCTTTGAGGTGTAGGTCTGAGACTTTCCTTTGGCGTGACTTCAGAGGAAGTCAAGGCTGAAGAAGAAAACTCCATTTCTTTAACCTTAGACTGGGCAGCAGACTGATTGGTTACTGGAGAAAATTCCACAAAGAAATAAGTGGTCATAGATATTGATCAACAACAAAAAAAAAAAATGACTCAGAGACAAAACTTAATACAAAGTTTTGCCCAGATATACATATATAATCTAAATGTGTTGTGCCCGTTTACAGCAATATTTGCGCCTTTTGGCTGACACATCTGACCTCATCAGGATTTGTTAATCGAGTTAACTTTCTGTATAGTTTCATTGGACAGGGACATGCTGTGGCCTTATTTGTTCTCTTTGTCCCCTTATCTACAAGTATTGCCCCTGGAAAAGCTTATATAGAGATTGTAGAAGCCTAGTTAGAATAGATCAGGGAACATCCAAACCATTCAAAGTAACATCTGGAGTAAGACAGGGATGCCTCTTATCACTGATCCTGTTTATCACCAACATTGACATATGACCAGGCCTTGATTACAGATACAGCCATGAATTTACAACATCTCACATCCATGAATGAAAAATGTAATTGCACGATAGCTTTTATAAAAGCTACCGGCCTCCTGATATAAGTTTTCTGACAGAAGGATCGAAAAAGAAGAAGATGAGAATCAACATTGAAAAGACAGAAGTAATGCCAACAGAAGAAAGAAGCAGAATTTAAATATAGTATTAGAGCATACATATATTAAACAGGCATCTGAGTTTAAATATCTTGGAACAATATTCACTAAACATGGTAAATTGGACAAAGAAATCAAAATTCAATGTAGTAAAGCAGGCCAAGTATTGGGACACCTAGCTCCCTCTTACAGCATAAGGCAATCCCAATCAGCACAAAGAAGCATCTCATACAAAGCATTTTCATTCCCACCCTACGCTACCAATGCCAGATATGATCACTCACAACAAAACATAAACAAAAATTAGTAACCATGGAAATGAGGTGTCTGAGAAAGACTGTAGGAGTGACCAGAAGAGATAAAATCAGGAATGAGGTCATACAAGATAAATTCGGCACAGAACCAATTCTAAATTACACACAAAGACAACAAATCTTCAGCAAAGCCTTCTGATACTATACCACCATACAAGGCATATATGAACAGAAAAGGACATAGGGCAAGAGGCAGAGCAAGAACAAGATGGTAAGATAACATCAGATAAACTCTACAGCACTATGATGTGTCTATGGTCGAAGCAGCCAGAACAGCACGTAGCAGGACCTTATATCTTCCTCAACACTCGAAGCAGTAAAAGAGAAGGTCAAGAAGTTGCCCCTGGAGACCCCATCCATAAAAGAGAACTTACTAAGAACTTATAACAACAGGAAATAAGTGATTACAGAAGACAATCAATGAGGTAATTAATTATTAATTAAAATATTGAAAAAAAAATAACTTGAAAAAATATTATAAATAATTTAATATTAGTTATTATAAAAGAGCAGACTAGACTAAAAACACTACAAGTAAACAGATTTTAAAAAATTAGGCATGTAATAAACAGAGGGAAGAATTGGTATGATAGTATAATTAACATAGAGTTCTGAGAAAAAAAATTACAAATATTCTAAGAATCAAATGTGAGAAAAGTAACAAATTGTGAGTATACTTGATAAAGCAAAACTCCATTAACATGAATACCAAGAGTCATAAAAATCCAAAGTTTATGTTAAAAAATTTCATGTTAACTGGAGACTGATATATGCAATATGAATTTTACATCATACAGGGACCAAAATTGTATTCACGAATCGGGTGTTCGTCTTAAGCAAGTTCATGCCGATGAGGCTTTATTGCAATATCACGACTATATTGAAGAAATTTAGGGTGACCAAAACACACACGCAAGATGGGTGCATTATTATTATTTTAAAGCAATGGATAGGAATTTGGTGTTTGAGGGATTTCAATAAAAGCAACCGACAACATGAAATGCAGACTGTAACTCCTGATCTGGTGAGGGAGACTTATCTATCAAAGACAACATCACACAATCAATTGTTCTTTTTAAATCTCTTTTTTATACAGTTTATCTTTTTATCTATCAGTGACAACAGTGCACAATCTATCTTTCTAACAGTCAAAGACAATGCTACAAAATCTTATTATCTACCAGAGATAACACTGCAAAATCTACCTCATAGATGGTATGGTAACTGCTGGAACAAAAAGCCTTCAATCCCTATCACAACCCAACTGATACTGTATTCGCCAGAAATGTTATAATTATATTTTTTTAAAAATTCAAAACAATCAGAAAATGTAATAAAATCAACGAAGCAACTATCGTCTCACAATAAACAAGCACAACTCTAATTAAAGTTCTCAACTGGTAAATAGACAAGCAATTATCAACAATTGTCATAAAAGACAGCAACAGATTCATTCAATATTTTCCCGTTATAAAACACCCTCATGTCTAGCATGACCATTATTTTTTAGCCCACAATTATTAAATACATATTTTGGTCACATTCTGCCTGAAACAGGCATCTGGAAATGCCCTGGGAAGTAACAATTGCCAGTATGATATTTATCCTAATTGCTACTTCAGAAACTGAACTACAAGACCGTATAAATTATTGAAACCAAGTTTGCAAACAGCATAACATAAAAAATTAACGCCAACAAAACAGAGGTCATGACCAAAGCCAAAAAAAAAAAAAAAAATAAATATCCAGCTTACACAACACCCTCTGAAACAAACCAAGACCAAATACTAAGATAAGAAAGGATTTAACTATTAGCTGGCAAAACAGATGAGAATGATGCCAGGTGAAACAAAGCAAACCAACATTAGGCAAATGGCACCAATACCAAGAAACAAACATGTATCAAAAGAAACCAATAAAGCACCATACAATACAACCTTTTTGCCAACACTATGTTATCAACACCGTACCTGCACAATGACAGAAGAAAATAAAAATTACAACTGAAAGAGATACCTGCAAAGGGCTCTCAATATAAGAAGAAGAGATAAGATCAGAAACGATGAATCAGGAGGAAAATGGGAGTAACAGCAGCTCTGAATTACTTCGGAAGACAACAGGTAAAATGGTTTGGCCATATAACGAGAATGTCAGCAAACAGTAGACCACAGCAAGCATTGATGTACAGACCAGATGGGAAGTGAAGAAGAAGCCGATCTTGCAAGCGATGGACAGAGAGAATTATAGAGTCCCTAGGAATCCCCATTTATCAAGTGCACAAACGGGCGCTTTTCTGTAAATTGTACTTCACCTCGACACCGCAAGGTACGAGAGGAACTATAAGATTAAATTATATGTACCCCCTCACCCAGTGAGTGCCACTTGGTGATTTATACAAACACAGGCTAGCATAAAATCCCCAATATTGACATGAAGTTTTATTCTGCTCACTGTGAAATGTTATCACAATCAACATCACTGCATACTGAGAATTCTCATGCATGCTCAGTCCTCCGATGCAGCAGCCACTCCAGGGCACCTCTACTGATTGTACACACGAGGAGCTGGTTATAACGTCACCTATCTTGACCTTGCGGGTGGTACAGACGTGCCTCACCATATTTTACTTCCACGTAATGCAATTGTGTTAGTGTCAGAGATTTGTCATTATCCACTAGCCGTCCGTATAGCACTGATGATATCTGCTCTGTCCATGCTTCTTCCCTACATGCGGTGGTGCACTGCTTGTTCATTACTTTTTACCCCAGCATGAGCAGGTGTGTAGATTCAGGTGAGGGAGGATGAGTGCAATTTTCAAATGCTTTCTACTCATTCAGAACGCATACTACCTCTTGTGACTTACTCAACTATGTTTATGGCATCTCATAAAATAATTGCAAGTGTGACTGCTTGTTTGCTTGTCACCGTGATGGTACTTACATGGGTTATCTTTATCTGTGTCGCTATCCAGCTCTGAGCAAGCCACACAGTAGTTTGTGCCCTGTCTGTCTTGCAGCAGAATTGTCTGAAAACAGTTAATGAAAAAAAATATAAAAATCAGCTAGCAGCTACAGAGCACTTTATCAGAACAGCAGGCTACAGGTCAAGAGGCAGACCAAGAAAGACGTGAATGTAGGGAGTCAAAGAGACACCACAGAAATGCAATGACATTAATACAAGCTCGGTAACAAGCAAAAGACAAAAAAACTACATCTAACTTGTCAGTGCAACTATTTATGGCATAAGCAGCAGGACAAAAGAAGAAGGAAGACAAATTTTAATTGTGATTTAGAAAGTTAAGCTGAACCAAGCTGATTTGAGAACCGACATCACAGTACTCGGGGCATTCCCATAGGCACTCCATCTCCATTTTCAGCAGCCAAGAGTTCCAATACCAATGGTGCTAGCACCTTGACTTTCCTCTAAGCATCAAGTACTGGACAGATCCCCTCATCACTCCTAGCTGCATCACTCTCACCAGACTGCTGTGATCTATTTGCTCCTGTGAATTGTACACATGCCCCTATAAGGTCTCAACCACATCTACCTTTTTCTGTGATTTAGAGAAAAAGACATCATATAGTAAAACCTTGTTAACATGAAATCACACAAGAAGCACACTTGGCTAACATGAACAATATTCTAATCCCAGCAAGAATGTAAAGTAAAGATCCCTTTTCACGCTTTTAGGTCCCTTGAAATTTGTGCAAATTATGTTTTACTGTATATAATCAACATCATCAAGTGCCTTGCTGATTGGTGTGGCCTATCATTCCTCTTTACAATCTGTGATCTTCAACAGTTTGTATCAGTTCATGTGCTGACACCCTTCTATGCCATGACAAAAGGCTTTCAAGAATCTTCTTGCATTGCCTTCTCTGTCCTATTTTCCACAGATCTTTCCAGTGGTCACAACATGTTCCGATTTCCTTTTCCTCATCATATGACCAATCAATGATTCTCTTCTTATGTCTTCTTCTTTGATATCTGTGATAAGTTGTCCTCACCTCTTCAAAACATCTGAGTTGCTCTTTTTGACTGCGCATAATGGGGCAGTTAATTGTGAAGCAAGTCAGTCAAGATCAAATATTAAGGTGTCCTGATAAGAGACGTTGTGAGACATATTAAGGATGTGAAATGTAAGAAATCTTGACAGAATTTAATGTACAAAGAAAAATGATTGCCCTAATTAGGAAGACAGCAATCTCATTCAATGGTGATGTCACAAGAAGGGGGAAAGTGAAGTATGTCATGACGACAGGAAGGATGAAGGGGAAAGATGTAGAGGGAGACCTTCTTCTCATTCACTGGCTGTTTTGAGTGTTTGTTTAAACACTGGCTGTAAACTCTGGTAGAATGTCCTGGTTGTTACCCATATGTGTTCCTGAGTCCCACTGTAGGGTGGACGCACTGCATCTCACCATACCAAGCAAGTAATAAGAACTGACTAATTAGGGAAGTTTCTTTCTATGCTCGAGTGCATCTGCCTGAGAGGTGTAACCAACTGTCTGCATATAAATGAACCACATAAGTTAGAACTTAGGTGTACGTTAAACTCGAAGTTCTAGAACAAAACTAAATTCCAGAAATGGACAAACAATCAGAACATTCCGCCAGAATTTACAGCCGGTGAACGCAAAAAAAAAGTTCCTGGAAGAGGAGGCAGGGGCCGACCAACACAACACTGGATACAGAATATAAAAGACGCCCTGGGCATAAAAGCTCATGAGATGGGAAAGCTGGCAACAGGCCTGGTGGCTTTCCCATGTGTTGGAGTAAGAGCAACATTTTGGAAAGCACCTAAACCTGAGAGCTATGATGATGGTCTTTGCTAATCTATAGGAAAAGCACTTTTATGGAGATACTCATGTGCAATAAAAGTAATATCTTCTGATCACATACCTAGTAGTTAGTATTGAATATCTAACACCATTCTGCTCAGAGTGCACCTGCCTGAGAGGTGAGGAACAAACAGTATACATTAAAAAAACCAGACCTGTCATATGGATGTGCATGCAAAACTCAAGTTCTGGAAGAAGAACCAAAGTCCAGAAGTGGATGAACAACCAGAACTTTCCACCAGTGAACGCTGGGAAGAATACCTGACCATAAAAAAGACAATATGTCTTTCTCTCTCTCTTCCTTTCTGAAGAAATACTAAGTTTCCTAATGCTCGGCAGGTAGGACAGAAGACTTACATCACAGGTCGTGCACACTGAGCCTAACATCTTGTAGCCCTTTAACAAGTAGCCGGACATGATCTTGGAGATTTTGTCAGAACGATCTCTTCTAGCTTTTATAAGTTTCATCTCTGCTTCGGATGGTGGCTGCCAATCATCATTGTCCATTTTGACTTTGGATAATCTTTACAGGTCAATCAAAAACCTGAAAATGGAAATGAGAAAATAGTATAAGTATTCTGTGATGTGAAATAGAAAACATAACTAAAATACACAAATGAAACTAGTTTTATAAGAATTATCTGATTTTGAACTCCAAACATCGTCAACTGCTTTGCAGACCTGAATGGACAACCATGTGTCTTTCCCCATTTGCAATAGCATGTACCAATTTGTGCGATTACATCTTTCCATGTTATAATATAAGTTGCTTTCCTTTCAGTGTTTTCCCACTCTCTCATATCTTCTGTTATCCCTGTGTGGGTTCCGTGGCCTGATTGTTGAGGAAAAAAGAAAAGATCTAGTGATTCCCTAACAAACATGTAATACGAGTCGACTAATTGAAGGTTTCCTTAAAAGTGTGCATCTGCCTGGGGCAAAGATTCAACAGTCTGCATTCCAAAAAAGCTGCAAATTTGATGTGTGACCTCTCCACTAGTGTTTACAGCCAGTCAAGGCGAAGAAAAAAATATCTGGCTATCCTCCGAATAACGGTCCTAAATTATCGGGGCAAAAATATACCCTAACAGGGCCTCAGTGACGTGTCAATTGCGCAGTACCATCATCTTGAAATGCAACCTCCGCCACCACCGAGAGTGACCCCCACTCCGCTCACGCGGCATGGATTGGGGCTAAACTAGGTTGCCGACAGTTCGCTATTCAGCGGTGGCATAATAGTCCCCAGAAGTGCGCAACTGACATGTGACTGAGGCCCTGTTAGGGTATATTTTCTCGCCTCGATAATTTAGGACCATTATTAGGAGGATAGCCAGATATCTCCTATTAGACAGCTGACTATTGAAACATTCCGGGCAATGATACTGCCGTCAGCTAGTAATCAAGTAATGAGTTTAAATTGATCCAGACAAGAACATGTAAAACTAACAGTAAAACAACACGACAAGTTTCAAACGCAAAACAATATAACAGCAAACTAATGCTGGTATACTGCTGTGTACAGAAAGAAATTTGGCTTTTGATTATGCGCTTATCTTTGCCATCAAATGTATTTTCCGCCTTCGATTACGACGTATTTCTCCATTGTTCAGTCTTTCTAGCTATAATGTTTTATTATACGGCTCTCCTTTGAATCGTTCCCCAAAATGGCGGCTTTAATATGATGGCGTTCGAAAGAGAGCTCAATTGGCCATAAAATATCCAAAAATATCCGAATGCGGGTCAGTTCTATTAAAAATATATGTGCCGGCTCCGGATAACGAAACAAATGCTCTGACAGGGTCTCGGCGATACGTTGCTTGCCGACCTGCTTCTGCGAGTGTGCCTCACCGCCGAGGGTATCCCCCGCACCGCTACGCGCGGCGCGGTTGGGGGCTAAACTAGATGGCTGGGACTCACGAGCGGCAGCTACTGCATCTCCTGCAACTTCCTCCAATTACTGTACTCGTGAGTCCCAGGCACCTAGTTTAGCCCCCATCCGCGGGGGATACGCTCGGCGATGAGTTTAATTTCGTTTGGCGCATGCCAACAAGTCTGACATCTACCGCTGCTAAATCCTCTAATCGGAAGAACACAGTATTGCTAATCAGCTTTCATCGTCTGTAATGTTTTGCAATTGGTCAATGGTCGCTAATATCATCTGCTATTATCGTCTGCAGAAATGCTCGAAATTGTCAACGGTCGGTATTTATCGTCTGCTACTAGTACCGTGTGCAAATGTTGATATTGATTGTCAAGTAATCCTAGTTTTGCCGCGATTTGTTCCTTGTCAGAAAGTCCGTATTTTAGATATACTCGAACACCGTCGTTCGGATATTTTATGGCCAGAATGTGGCATGCCGCCATTTTGGGGTATGATTCAAAGGAGAGCCTATTAATTATTATACTTAGCAGTCCGTCCGGTCACCGCTTCGGTTTAGTTTATGAACGCGTGACCATGGGCTTGGGTTTATGAACGCATATGCGAGTCGACCGTTTTAAAAGAAACTACTGCATGCAAAATTGTCGAGTAAAACCTAAGAGAACACACATGGTTATGTACTATAATAATTTTTGTGAACTACAGCGACAGTAGCGTATTTAGAAGTCCAGTGAGCTGTGAGTCACTTGCAGGTCAGGACAGGTCACTAAAGACAGTTCAGTCGGTAACGAAAATATAATAAAAACTAAAGGATTCCAACCCTTATATATTAAACTTGTATTATCGGCATAGCAATAAAATACAAACAATCTTTTTAGGAAAGATACTTGCAAAACTCAGACAGAGTGGACGTGTTACTAAGACAAACCTAGAAACAGAAGCTGACTTCGTTTCCACACCTGGCGTTGTGTTGTTTGGGGAATTAGAGTTAACTTCTCCTGCCAAACATCCGTTTCCGCTTGCATCCTTAACTCTTTGTACTTGGCTAATATATATTAATAGAGTACCAGAAAATGTATTGATTGGCACTCATAGAAAGAAGCAGAAAGAGAGAAGAACACAATAGACAACATAAAAATCGAAAGCTATAGATACCGTGCCGTTGGCTATTATAACCATTTGGGTTAGGGGGCTGCGTAGTCTTGAGGCATGGCGTCACGTAGACTTCTAGAAAGTTCTCCTGGTCTCTGGGTAGTAAGATCGGACGCCCGTTTGTATTGTTGCGAACGTGAAAACTCCCTTGGCAGTTAGAAATCGAAAAAGAGTTGCATAATGGCGTTGCTCGGGCAAAATTTGGAGTTAACATTATACTCAAAGTATTTCATGATCCTCGCCGGTGCTACAGAGAATGTACATTGTGCTGAGCTTCTTCGGACTCAGCCCTGAATTAGAAGAAGAACGAAGCACTTATGGGTTACTACCCGTGTGTCATAATGTTAATCAGTTATTCAAACCTCTGAGTATATTGAATCAGTTGAAGTTTGTATCTACAGTGCTTCTATGTTTCCGTTCGTTTAACTTTCATGTTATCTGTTTGGACGTAGTCGGAGTCTTGTTCCAAAAAGAGCAACCAAGAGGTTTTGAAAGAGGTGGGAGCCCGAAGACTACTTATCACAGACATCAGAAGGAGACAGTCATCATTTTTCGGCCATGTTATGAGAAGAGGGAAAATAGAACATGTTGTGACCACTGGAAAGATCTGTGGAAGGAGGGATAGAGGAATACAACGAGAGAAGATGCTTGACAGTCTTGTTGCATGGCATGGAGGTGTGTCGGCACACGAACTGAGACATGCTGCAGGAGATCGCAGATTATGGAGAGGCTTGATCGCCCACGCCAGTCGGCAAGGCACCTGATGATGAAGATGCTGTCTTGTTATCATGTATTCTGTCCTAACTTGACTGATAACAAGTCATGTGTCTTGAACTGCTTCCTTTAAGTGAGTCCGTTTTTTACAATTTCTAGTGCGTCTTTGTCAACTTTATTTATGTCGCCTGTGTCTGTGGCTTATGAGTGCTTCATAAAACCTAGGTGCTGGGTTCGATCCCAGCTGCGGGTAATTGGCAGCAGAGATAAATGATAGAACACAGGACAACCATAATGCTTAGCTATGCCATACGGTCTGGTCTGTCTTCTTCACATTCACCGGCAGTAAACTTTGAGGGGAAACTCCTGGTTTTTCGTCCACTTCTGTACTTTCATTTCATTATAAGACTATTTTGCAGATCGGCTTATTTGTTTGCAGACTTTTGGCTCCTTTCTCTTATGCAGATGCAATCCAGCTTGGAAACATCGATCCTTGCTAAGCTGGTCAGTCTTCCTGTTGGAAATCCCTGTCTAGGATGACCGTGGAGAGTTGTAGACAGGTCTTGACCACTACGAATCATGGTCCTGTTGTAACAACACGTGTGGGTCAGCATATCTGCATCCCACGAGGGCTTTAGAAACACGTTTCTTGGGCGCACACAAGCTAGGTCATCGCCAAATATTACAACGTTGTTGATGTGTGCTGATGCTCTGCCTATCTCGGCTATGGGACAGGCACCTCGCCATATAGAAATCCCTGAGAGCGGTGATGATGATGATGAGATTCAATCTCACCAGGACATCCATCAAGCGATAAACCCCCGGTCACATAAACTGCCACCATGTTGTTGAGCATCACCCGGGGAGAGGTCCCAGAAACCCCTACAACCGTTAGGTTATATTAGGGCCCCCGATCACAACCGGGGTGGGGTTTTAAAGGAGGTGTCGAGGAAGAGGGTTAGGGTGTCACTCAGCCTCATAGTCTTCAAAGAGTGGAGGCACTGGGAGACTTAAGTCTTGTTTAAGAAAACAAAATAGATCCTTATTATTACTATTATTATATGCTGCACTTGCCTCCTCAGTCTACTGACAAGACATCCACATGGCCGCTTCGAGATACTAAGCTAAGGGATTTTGTGTATTTATGTGGAATTGTTTTATCTATGTACGTGCTGATGAAAGCTCCTTAGCCGCAACGTCACATTTTATTTGTGTTTGTTATATTGTGAAGCTTGCTAATATACTTTTAATTCCGTTGTATGTCTTTTCTTGACATAAATATATATGCTGAACGAGAAATAAACGCAATGATTTATTTGAAATAAGATGTCATATATGTATAATATTTAAATAGAGAGGGGGGAGAAATTACCTTGGCTCCCATGTCGACCCAGCCTTGAGTGGGTACCAAGTACAGTCCTGGGAAGTAAAGGCCGCCGGCATGATGCCGACCACATCACCCACCAACTGTTGATTGGTCTATCAAAATATAGTCCTGGCCCTATTTTGCCAGTTCGCCTAAAGGCGTGGAAAACAACATTTACTTTACTTTAAATCATAATAATAATAAGTACGTGCTCAATTTATATAAATAAATATGTTCGTTAGTTCAAAATCTTAAATCTCCGTAAGTTCTTCGTTAATTGCTTTGAAATGTTGACAGAACGTTGCTTTCGAAAACGCTTGTGTTTTTTTATATAGATGCCACACCTGTGACAGGTAAAAACATGCTTTTGTTAATGACAGCGCCATCTATTGGATGTAAAAGCAACAAACGCTATACTAAATATTTTAAGATTTCAATTCAATATTTCCAATTTACGATCCATTTACGATCCATCCACATTTTAAATTTTACGATTTCATTTCAATGTTTCCGATTGCATTGTCAAACTGAATTTTCATAGATTTCGATTTATTCCAATTTTGATTTGATTATTACGATGACATTGCGTTTGAAATGACCTGTGTCGTCTACGATAGCGTTAATTTCGTAAGTATAGTTTAATTTTGTTTTAATTGATTTTTTTTAACTGTTTTTTTTTTTAAATATAATTGGTGGTGGAATTGAGCTGTGTCAATTAAACAGCGTTTGAATTGAAATATTTCGTTGGATTTTGTTTTAAAGTTCTCGGTGTTTCCTTTTTAATGTTTTGCAATTTTATATGTTTTTGTTATAACTTTCTTCTTTTAGTGCAATCGATCTGCTTTAGTTCCTCCAAAAAAAAAACGCCTCGCAGAAGATCAAGCTTAGGTCGTCGCCCTCACGGAGCGCAAGCAGTGCGACGAGTGTTTGCAAATCAAGCTGAAGAAGAACAGGCATCAGCGAAACAGACAAATAATGGCTCAAATACGTACCAAGGAAGCAGCAGAGCGACGTGCAGACTTGAGGATGCGGGGATGCCTCCGCACGTACTGCAATTGAAAGCCTCTGTGCCAGTTATCATGTTGCAAAATATCAACCTACCAAAACTTTGCAGTTAAAAATTGACAATGATATGTTGCGTGTTCTAGAGTCGGTAAACGAAACAATCTTTATATCTGCACAGATAATAGAAAAACACATATATTGTATACACACAAGCATTGTGAAATTAAACATAGAAACGTGCGCTTTCTCTTTTTTTTTTTTTTTTTTTTTAAATTTAACCAAGCTGAGCCGCAGCAGCGCGTGGCCGGGTACATCTAGTAGCAAATAAATCTACTAATATATCTAAAATAATTAGAAAGGTTTAAACAAATATTTTACTAAGATACCGTTTCCGTACATGATTGAGGGAGAGGGAAACTTAGGGACCACATCTCACATACTCACATCTTGCACATTTTCTAGGGGTCGTTGGTGGATGCTTAGTCTTCATAAAAAAAAAAAATTAAAATAATTAAAAATGAGTTCCCAAGTCCCGGCGCCTATGGGGCACAGTGGTTATGGATGGATGATGACTTCCGCAGAGCAGTAGTATCTACATGGGCTACTGGTAGATTTGCATCGAGAACCTAAGATGTTATCTGAGGATAGAAGGTTAATTTATCTTGCTTCTGATTTGTTGGTAAGGTCAGAGGTGAAATCACATCAACGGAGTCCAGAGATCAGTTAGCAGCTTTGTCAGGATCAGTTAAATCCCACTTCTGCTGGGGGTACAGCCTTCATAATCCAGTCTACGGCATCTACCCCCACCCCCACCCATCACGCAAGCGATAAACACCTGGTGACACAAAGAGCCACCTTGCGGATGAGGATCACCCGTGTAGAGGTCTCGGAAAACGTCGTTCAGCTGTTCTTGATACCACTGTCGAAACCAACGAAAGGCCCATGGCCCGCAGCTGGGATCGAACTCGGCATCCCGGCATTAAGAAGCGTTCGCATCGACTTAGCCACAGAGCCGACTAAAAGCCAGAGTTGGGTTTTAAAATAAGTAATCATTGCATCCCACAAGGGAATAACGGGATTATTATTACACTTCTGTTCAAATTTCAAATGTTATCATTTGTTTTCCGTCAGTACATGCACATAACCAGAACATTTAAATTAACAGCTTTTATTATACAAATATTTTAAAGCAGTAACATTTTCACTTCATATTCATCGAGAAAAAGAACATAATAAGCACAGCTAAATTAAAAAAGACGGCTTTTTGGCTAAGACTAAAGTGTAGCTTTGCTGCACTGGTCTGGCCAAAAGAGCCCGGGATCGGTCACATCCACAAATCACGGGAGAAACCCAATCGGCAATGCCATCTTAAAAAATCTGCCGGGCGGTTTCCCCGTTCAGAATATCCTTCGGGTGGTCGGGCGGCCAACCTGGGCATGTGGGGAGACCGATCCGGACCAAAAAAATAAATAAATAAATAAATTAAAAAAGAAATATTCTTCTTCTTGTTTTTCTTTTCTCTACTCCTGGAATGCCAAGCGGGGTCAGGACAGGGAGAGATCTCTGGAATGGGCCCTTCAATTCGCTTCACATAAAGTACTTTTCAGTGTCATTGATATTTCTGATGTCCATATTCTGCGTGGTCGACCTCTGGGTCTGTTACCGTTGTATCTGTATAACATTGCAGTCTGTAGTGCCCTGTCTGCTGCCAGTCTTGTTACAGATTCCTTAAAATTGTCATTCTTCTTCTTCTCTTCCACCTTGTACCTCATCGGGGGGAGATGTTCGTTGACGAGCTCTGTCAAGAGCACTATTAAGACTGATATTCATTTCTGTAAGGCTCTTCTAAATGCCATCACTCCATATTTTCCGAGGTCTTCCACTCGCTCAATACCCGTTGTAACGTTTTAGTGTGGCTCGCTGTGGTCATTACAATTACATAAAATCAGTCTGAACACAAGCAAGAAATTTCAAAAACTTTTGACCTTTTAAAGACAAAAGGCGACCTAAAGATAATTAATTAGGACATAAAGGTAAGACACTTATTAAAAATAGAATTAATGTTTCACTTTGTCATTTATATTATCATATTAAAGAATTGCTCTTCTCCATGTTTAGCAAAAGGAGCCGACGTGGTGAAACGGCTAGACGCTCGTTTGCGGAGCCGGGTAATTTTTTTTAATGACCTGGGCTTCCACGTCGACCTAACCTTTAGGGATAGTAGGTAATGTCATGGGAAGTAAAGACGGCTGGCGTGATGTTGGTCTATATATATATATATATATATATATATATATATATATATATATATATATATATATATATATATATATATAGGTCTGGCCCTATATGCCCAACACATCTGAAGACGTAGAGAAAGAGTTCTTTACTTTACTATTTTAGCACAGTTGACCAGAATCGACCAAATAATTATAAGATCAAAATAACAACAGCAGTATTGAAACAAACTAATAATAATAATAATAATAATAATAATAACAATCATAAAAATAATGATTTCAATTAGACTGTGGTCTTTAGGAGATATGGTTATTATCACGATAGCCGCGTTTACCACACATAACACTCAAGCACCAGCGTTGGCTGAGTTAACCTGAGAGCACAAGTTTAAAACATAGATTCGAACATTTGACCTGTAAGCCTGCATTCAGGAATTGTACCCTCTGTACACTACAGTTCACTACACGACTCACTGCCCGGCCTACTCAATGAATGTATTCCAACTGCTGCTCAGTGTGTTGTCTTTCAACCCCTCCCTCAAAGATTGCAGCCCGTAGATTAACATCTCCTAGATGAGAATCAAAAAGATACAAGTCCGAGAAACCTTGTTTAACAAGTGGCCAGGCGTGATCAAATCACATGTGCAAACGTTAGCAGGTAACGATTGTACTGGAGAGGGTATCCTATGATGTTTTTGTTCCTAGTCGCTTTGTTGTTGAGAGTATGTGCGGGCAGCCAACATCGTAGTACTGGTAACTTATTGCTGGAGTTAACATTCAGTGAACATTAAAGAAGTTCACAAATATTGTGCGTGCATATTTTGATACATATCATGCATTGATTCATTCACTTTCTCACTCACTGATTTATTATTTCCTTCAGTCATATGCACATTTATTCGTTTATCTAGTCACCTAACCATTCATTCATTCATTCATTCATTCATTCATTCATTCATTCATTCATTCATTCATTCATTCATTCATTCATTCATTCATTCATTCATTCATTCATTCATTCATTCATTCATTCACATAAATACTATTATGAATTGAGCAAACTTCTACCACCATGAAACAAGCAAACCAATTATTTAAAACAAAAAAATCATTGGGACAGGAATATCTACTGTCATAAAAACTATATCTCATATTTAAAAAAAAGGAGGACTGGTTTCTCAATAAGATCGCCGCAAGATGGACAAGTTCTGGAGCCCCAGTAACAATCTCCAGCCATCTAGAAAACATCCGAACTGTAACGACAAATTCCGAAATGCAACCTACGACCTTCAGCACGAGAGACTGGGGGTAATGAACTCGATCTTTTCGCATTTAACTTTTGCATTTAACCTCTCCAACAACCTGTCACCATTATGGAGGCCAGGGCACAGCAATGTACCAGGCCTAGCTTATGCAACCACTCCCAGGAATACGTTATGAATGCTGGCCCTTGCATAAATTAGCACTGGACTTCTATGCTCGCGCAACTCCCACAGTTGTCCAGGCTCGAGTTTAGACGCGCTAACGATGAGCCCAGTAAAACATCTACGATAATCGAATATCTTCACAAGAAACGCAAATGTCAAAAAACGCTGCCAAGAATAAATAAAGCAAAGCACCTCATAAATAACAACAACAACAACAGGCATGTTTCATTTCATAACACACACTTTGCTTCATTCTTGAATAAAAAATGTAAGCTTCTCTCTCGCCATCATCACGCAGTTCAGCTCTAGGGCTGGTCATGCAACTTTATGGTCATTCAACTCCTTCTTCTTCACGCCGTTGCATTTATCATAAAATGTTTCGATCGACACATTTGTCTTATAAACATTGTCTCTGTTTCCCGCCTCCCTCTTTCACCAGGCATTGTGCTCACTAGAACTCTCGTTAGAGTTTCTTAGAGTATTAGAGGCATCAGTGAGCACTGGGATTATTTAACCGTTGAGTGTCAACGTTTTCCCAAGACCTCTTCATCCACATAGATAAACTTCAGGCGGAAAGTCATGACTCCAGCGCAGGTTCTCACTGGGGGTGACAATCTGGACGTTGTCACACATGGAGGTGATCTCTCGCTCCACGCCGGCCAGGATCAACTGGACGTTCGGACATTGTCCGAGGTTGATGGCCAGTAGCTGCGGACAGTCCAGCTGTAGTCGATGGATGTCGCGGCATCCAAACATGTTGAGGAACTTCAGGGGCGGTGTTTGTAAAGACACCTGGAAAGAAACAAACATGAAAGGATTGGTACGTTCAGAAACTATCAGTCAGTCAGTCAGTCAGTCAGTCAGTCAGTCAGTCAGTCAGTCAGTCAGTCAGTCAGTCAGTCAGTCAGTCAGTCAGTCAGTCTGTCTGTCTGTCTGTCTGTCTGTCTGTCTGTCTGTCTGTCTGTCTGTCTGTCTGTCTGTCTGTCTGTCTGACTGTCTGTGTTTAAAGTCGACAGGATCGACTTCAATGCACAGGGTTTTATCCCATATGGCTCGGTCTCTCTCAACAGAACGGCTAGCCGCCTGTCGAGGTGGCGTTGCACAAAGCACGAACTCCATACTTCCGGTGACCATCCCTACAGATCTACGTAAAATTTGCACCCGTGTACCGAAATACACAGAAGGGGAACGAACCCACAACCTTCAAAGTGTGAGGTACCCATTTTAGGCTGGGAATCTGCTGTGAGTAGTGGGGAGGGGGGAGCTAAGTAAAGGACCATTATTTAGGCCTTCGTTCGAATAGGGCACATAGGGCTAGACCTACATTTCATAGGCCAATCAGCACTTGGTAGATGATGCAAGCAGCAACAAAGTTGGCCGCCTTTACTTCACAGGACTGCACTTGGGACCCATTCAAGGATGACTCGACCTACAAGCCAGGGTCAATTTTGAAAAAAGTCAGGCTCAGCCAAGACCCGAAAAAAAAAAAAATGAATGCAATTAAATATTAAGAAACAGAAAGTAGTTGAGAATAAATTTACTATTATGGGAATTTTAAAGTTAAAAATATATGTATATATAACTTTATTGCGTGGACATTGTGCAACTGTTTAAGTATCTCTTCACTTTGCATTTTCTTATTATCTGCCCCTTTTTCTTTCGCTCCGTAACATTGTTTCTAATCACCAAAAACTTGCAAGACATCTGGGTCGGCAGGCCTAGGAGGCTAAGTCATAGAAATTGATTCTAAAAATGGCTCTGTGAGTCAAAAATGATTAGAAACTATTATACTAAATGGCCGTGTTCTCGGGTCTATCAGACACCAAACTGTGTGACTAACCTTTGTGATGTTCCGACATTTTTCCAAGTTTAGATGATTGATGTTGGGGCAACCGTGCAGTGCCATTTGTAGTGCATAATCTGTCACGTGACACCTGTACAGGACAACTGTTCTGGCGAGAGGCGTCGACACCGAAAGCAGGTTCACCTGAGGAAAATCAATACAGCACAGAATACAATCAAGGAGCCTCTGTCAGATATCCCATAATATTCTTCCAAATCTCTCTCTCTCTCTCTCTCTCTCTCTCTCTCTCTCTCTCTCTCTCTCTCTCTGTGTGTGTGTGTGTGTGTGTGTGTGTGTGTGTCTCGCTCGCTCGCTCACTCCAATAATTTAAATTTCCTATGTGAAAGAATTGTCATTTATATCTGGTGAAAATAAAAAAATCGTAACACCTTTTCGATATATACGTCTTTTATTTTCCGTTTCATTCCACTTTATACTTCCACTTCCACTTAATGGCTTGAAAATAAAAATGAAATGGCAGTGAATTACATCTAGATTAAACTTCCACATGTTTTATATCTTTCATTGTCATCAGATCGAAAAACAAAGTCCATGAGAGGTCATCATCATCATCATCATCATCATCATAATCATCATCATCATCAAAGAACCGGTCCTTCAAAGAATGTGGCTGCTGTCTTAACGACACTCCTGAAAGTCTCTCTTTCTCTAGCCAGTTCTCCAGCCCTATGTGCTTTCATAGCCAGTGCATCTTCAATGTCTTCTATCCACATTCGCAAAGGTCTGCCTCTACCTCGCTTTCCAAAAACAGTACTCTCCACCGCCGTTTTCTTTCATGGAAGGTAGCTACACAGAATAAACAAATGAAGAATGACTGACCTTACAGTCGAACAGCCTCAAGAACCCAATGGATCCAAGAGCATGGATAACACAAGAGTCGAGTTGTAGCTGGTCGTCGCTGCACAAGTTGAGCTCAATGGCGTCCACACTCACACACTGTTGGATTATGGGAGATTTGCCAGAATAATTATTACTGTAGCCTACATAGACACATGCTCTGGAAAAAACTAGGAATAAAAAGAGAGTTAAAAAGGGGTGATTGGGGGGGGGGGGAGAGGTGAAATGTGTTGGCCATATTAAAAATATTACACTCCTATCAAAGATTATTTTGGCGTGGAGTGAATCAGGCACCTGGGTAAAACCAGAGGGTCTGGCAGGCTAATTACACTCAGAGGAAAGGCAAGACGGACATGTAACCAGATTGTGACCGGTACCATCAGTATTGGAACTCTGTGCTGGCTGCTGAAGATGAGGACATAGCATGCATGGGAATGCCCCGAATGCTGTAGTGTCAATTCTTGAGTAAACCCAACCCAACAGAACTCAACTCAACTCAACTCAACTCAACTCAACTCAACACTCTTATCAAATGTAAATTTTAAACTGCCACTAATGCCTATAATTCCAGGCATTAATTACCTTATTATTATTACAGGTTTCCGAAAACAGAGTTTTACGACGAATCTTTGGATCTATCAAAGATGTAAACAGCGGGGAATGGAGAGTGAGAAGCAACCACGGAATTCATAATCTGTTTAAATCCTCATTAATCACTGGCATCATGAGAGCTAATAGGCTGAAATTGCTGGGGCATATTGAGAGAATGTCAGATAACAGAGAGGTAAAAACTGTATACACAAGGGAGATGAATGGTCGAAGACTACGAGGCAGACCAAAAAGACGATGGAGAGATAATGTCCAGAGAGACCTGCAAACACTTAGTGCCACAAACTGAAAAGAGAAGGCCAACCAGAGAGATGAATGGAGGCGGGGGATATATGCAGCAACGAACCTTAAGGGCTCGGAATTCTGAAGAAGAAGAAGATTACTGGGTTCTATCCCATTACTACCCTCCTCCCTGCCCCCCAACAGACAGGCGAATATTTTAGGGGGTGGTAGATAGACTGCATGCAGTGGTGGGACCTAGGCTGCATGCAGTCGTGGGACCTAGGTTGCATGCAGTCGTGAGACCCAGGCTGCATCTAGTCGTGGGACCTAGGCTGCATGCAGTCGTGGGACCTAGGCTGCATGCAGTCGTGGGACCTAGGCTGCATGCAGTCGTGGGACCTAGGCTGCACTCTCTTGTGGGACCTAGGCTGCACTCTCTTGTGGGACGTAGACTGGTTGGGGTTAGGCCTAGTTTTATATGTTTTGGGGTTGTTAAAGGCATCAGAAAGCCGGGAAAGCCCGCTCTTACCACCCTAGAAAATATTGGACTGTCCTGTGACGTCATCTGGGGGGAGATATTGGGAAAGCACCGATTACTGCCTGTAATTGCCACTTCTGGTGTGTCTTTGAGCCTAAGGATTTAAGACGGCATGGCTACAGTAAGTACCACGGACTGTGTAGGTTAGGATTTTACTTTTGTTCCAACAGACAGAAAAAAACATCCCCCAACATTACCGACGATTTTAACTCGAGTCTCCCGCACGAGAGACCAGCCTTTTTAACAGTTTGGCCAGCCGCTCCCATATTAAACTATACTAGAGGGGAAAGTTAAAGGCATGCAATAGGAGCTGGACACCGATACAAGTGTAAGGATAACATTGAGGGGTGAACGAACAGCAGTTTGACAGCATATACAACCATGGCGAAAGGTATGTCCGGTATGTTATGCATTCTTAAATCAGTAAATCCCTTTAACAACAACAGCAGAAACAGTAACAACAATAACAGCAGCAGCAGCACTAACAACAACAGCAGCATCAGTAACAACAATAACAACAGCAGCCGCAACAACAACAGCAGCAGTAACAACAAAAACAGAAGCGGCAACAAAAACAACAAAACATCAGAAATAACAATAACAGCAGCAGCAACAACTGGGGGGGGGGGGGAGGAGAGGGGGGGGGTGGTGGAGAGGGACTCCATGTTAGGAATTTTGCCCCCAACATAAATAAAATCCCTAATCTCTCCGGGGATTCCACCCCTATTCTTCCACATGAGAAAGTTTTGAACCGTTCGGCCAGCTGCTACTCAGCAACGACAATAACACCACCATCTTCTTCTTCTTCTTCACTTCCTCTTTTACCGCTGTGGGTGTCGAGGGAGATATAAGGTTCTGTTTCTAGCTCTTCTGGCCGCCTCGACAATAGGCACATCGTGCTGTTGTAGAGTTTGTAGTGAGTGACCATGTCTGGCACTTGTAGCACAGAGTTGGAATAAAAATGCTTTGAATAAGATGTCTCTTTGTGCTGATTGGGATTGTCTTATGCTGTAAGAGGGGAGCTAGCTGTCCCAATACACCACCATCAACAACAAATACACTCTTGTATTTAAAAAATTGACCAGTTGACACCAGGACCTACCTGTATTGTCATGGTCCTGAGAGCCGGCATACCGACCAAGGCGACCTTGCACAGGTGGTTGGCGGTGATGTAGATGTGGTTGAGCGTGATGATGTCGTTGTCGGCGTCTGTGTGGAAGAGTCGCAGGCAGGGGCTGCGCAGGTGAACTGCCTCGCAGGAGAAGTCACCCAGCAGACACAGCTCCTAGTGGCAAACACGAGTTTAACTTAAGAGAATGCAGAAGCAAGTATTTGGAGCCATCGAACTTCATACATCTGTTATGTTTTATGTAATTGTTCATTCAGATTAGGTAAGAAAAAAATGACCCTTCTCCGAGCCTTCGGGCTAAACCTGTATAGCAAAGGACCCATTTCCACGCTTTTAGGCGTACTGGGCATAGACCAATATTTTATAGACCAATCGGCACTTGGTGGGTGGTGTAGACCTGTATAGAGCAAAACCTATATTTTATAGATCAATCGGCACTTGGTGGGTGGTGTGGTCAGCATTACGTCGGCCGCCTTTACTTCCCAAGACATTTCACGCACTTTAAAGCTGGATCAACCTGGGAGCCAATGTTATTTATTACAAACAGTCCAACACCGTCATAATTTCAACCCATATGCTTCGTATCCGTAGGCGATCGTCTAGCCGCTACGCCACGGCGGCTTCTGTGGGTGAGATGTGCAGATGTAAAAGCACTTATATACGAAGTCAGGTGAGTAGATACACAGGTAAGGAGGTGGGTGCTTAGGTATGTCGGTCTGTGGGTGGGTCGGTTATTTTGTCAATCGGTCGTCCGATCTACTAGATAGCTAAGTTGATCTGACGATCATAAAGAAGAGAGGCGTGTACGCGAACAGGGATGTAAGCAGGCAGACTTGTATTTAGGTGAGTAAATAAAGAGATAATTGGCAGGTAGGTAAGTATATAGGTATTCATGAAAACGGGTTGGTAGGATAGTAGTTACGTAAGCCAGTAGGCATTTACGAAGCTAGTAAATAAGTAAGAACCTTTGTAGGAAAATATGTACGTGATTGTGTAAGTAGATAGGACGACGTGTTAATTGGTAGGAGACTATGTAGATTAAGGGAGGTAAGTAGAAAGCAAATGAGTAGGCTGGTGGTGGGTATGTAAGTATGAAATGTGTAGGTAGGTAGGTAGATAGGCAAATGGGGTGGTGAATGCGTATGTAGATTTTGTAGGTAAGTAAGAATGTAAGTCGGATTATATTACCTATCAACCAGGAAATAAAAGTGAAGTCATTCACACATATAACTCACCTGTAAATTGGGCACCACGTCCTCGTCAAGTAGCAGACTGTCCTGACTCAGACAGCCGACTCGGAGACAGACCAGGTTGGAGTTTTTCCTGAGAGCGTCCCTGAGGTTCCTCATGTCCAGGACCTCACAGTTGGACAACTCTAGGAAACACAATTTGTCGCTCTGAGGTGGGAATAAAAAATTTGAATGTTAAATGCTGAATTAGGAAGCGACATCAAAGCACACATGACTCCTCCATAAGCGCTCCGTCCCAGTCTTCAGCAGCAAGCGGAGATTTCCAATTTCGATGGCACCAGTAACTGTCTGTTTGCACATCCGTCTCGTCTTTCCCATGAGTGTTGAGCGCCGGCCAGATCCCCTTGTAACTCACAGCAGTACTATTATCCCCAGACCGTAATGATCTATCTGTGCCTCAATAAAACAGTGTCTGTACCTAATATAAACATAAGTAAAGTAAAATAAAGGTCCCTTTTCCACGACTTTAGGCGTGGTGGGAACAGAGAGCTAGACCTATATTTTCATGGACCAATTGGCACTTGGTGGGGGGAGGTGGTCAGCATCACGCCGGCCGCCTATACTTCCCAGGACTGCATCTAGTATCCACTTAAGGTTGGGTCGACCTGGGAATCACCGTCATGTTTGAAAAAAAGGCTGGTTTTTGTCAGGACCCGAACCAACGACCTTCCGATCTACAGGCTGGCGTCTAGCCGCCAACGCCACAGCGACTACCTAATGTAAACATACAAATGCAATAAATGTAAAAGCTGATGACTGATGTCGTATGAGTATTAAGTATAAGGTTTTCCGGTACAAAAACCTTCTTCTTCACATATCAGACAGTATATTAGTTTTATAATTTCTTTCTGGCAATCGCATTCTATCGTCCTCCTATTCTTTGCATCTACTTCCTTTTCTCTTCCCCTCCACTCACTGTTGACAAATTTACATGTTTTCTCTCCCACCAAAAAAGGTGACAAAAAGCTTAAGATCGTCTAGTAAATAACTGATTTTGTTTCCTAATTTTACTGAATAATGCGCCCAATACTGTTGAAAAGGTCCACTGAAGGCAAACATTTCAGCCATTATTCTGTCCTAAAAAAAAAAAAAAAAAAAAGCAGCCGTTGTAACACTACGTGAAGTTAGTTACATGTCCTTTTGCATGGCGTTGCAGAAAAAACTTTTATCTCTGCCATTCCCTTGTGAGATGCAATTTTTCGTTATTTTTAAACTCCACTCTGGCTCTTGTCAGGGGCCGCAATATAGCCCGGCCATAAATATGGTCTAATGGCTGAACGCGGTTTCCGGGACCTCTCCACGGGTGATCCTCATCCACATGGTGACACTTTGTGTCATCGGGTGTTTATCGCTTGTGTGATGTCCTAGTGGGGTAAAATCTACTACTACTATTACTACTACTACTACTACTACTACTACTACTACTACTACTACTACTACTACTACTACTACTACTACTACTACTACTACTACTACTACTACTACTACTACTACTACTACTACTACTACTACTACTACTACTACTACTACTACTACTACTACTACTACTACTACTACTACTACTACTACTACCAACCTTGGAATTTTGTATGTTTGGTTTTATTATGTAGTTTTACGCGTAGTAGTTTGTCATTGCTATCTTAACAATCGGTTCTCAGTACCACTGACGAAATCAGCGCAAGGCGATCTGTTGTAAAATCATCTGCAGTGCAATCGAACTGGTTACCTCGTAATAATGAAGAGCGTTCGCAATGCGTCAGCCGCAACACTAAGCAACCTTCAAAAATATCAATCTGGAGCTGACAGTTCAGCAAGCAAAGGCAAACTACTGAATGTAAAATTTGCCTTGAAAAACCACAACAACCAAAAAATGCTGTGGTGGTTCTGCAATGTCCTGAAAAGAATACGCAACGAACTTAACTAACCTTGACATTAATGGTTCTGAGAACATTGCTTCCATCGATCGTGGCTTTTCGAAGTCTTGGCGCGAAAATCTCCAAGTGTTCCATCGACTCCAGCCCATGGTCGATGGTAACATGACGTAGTTCCGGCGTGTTGACGCTAACAAACAGAACATTCCAGAGGTTGAAGAGGTAGAACTTCTGAAGCGACCCGGAGACCAGCCGGATACCATGAAGATGCTGGAGAAGGACAATGGAAATGTAAGCAGGTAGTTGAAATGAATCTGTCCAGAAGTACTGACACAATGAAAACATTGTTTGGGGGGGGGGGGGGGGGGCTGACTGACTGACTTTCTACCCCACTAGGACATCACACAAGCGATAAACACCCGATGACACAATGTGCCACCATGCGGGTGAGGATCACCCTGGAGAGGTCCCAGAAACCGCGTTCAGCCCTTAGGCCATATTTATGGCCAGGCTATATTGCGGCCCCTGGCAAGAGCCAGAGTAGGGCTTCAAATAACGAAAAATTTCACCCTGAAAAGGACGAGAATTTCCTCAAAGAATATAGGGGGGGGGGGGGTATATATATATATATATATATATATATATATATATATATATATATATATATAGGAGGGAGAGTTAAGCCCCCTTACACATTTTGTAAGGGAAATCAATGCAGTGACAAGGTCAGATTATACTATGTTATTCAATTTACGGCACTCCAATTTAAAAAGCTGAAAACGTAAGTATTTGGTAGCTGCCTGGTTGGTCGGCCGCCTAGATTGAGACTGTAATCTCAGGATGGCATGGTAACTATTTAGGTAGCAACCTGAAGGGGACAAGTTAATCGATCTAACCCATCTGTGCATCTGGGGTTCAGACTGTAGAGTAGGGGACAGTATGCTTGTCACATCAATGACAGATTCCGTTGTGTATGTATTGTATAAAGAAACACATTCTTGTCTTACTCCCCTCCTTATGCTCTGAAAGGTTCCCAGATGGTTATTAATTCATTCTCATAGCTGCTATTTCCCAATACATGTTATTTTTAATTCGTAAATCTTTCACATTAAAAATTCGGTTTAATCAATGAAGCATAGGTAAAGATAGTTTTTTTTTTTAACTTCTATGCAACTTTCTGACAGAGTCGGCAGTAAATCCTTAACCTACACCCCCCCCCCTCCCGCTCCCCCCCCCCCCAACAACCCACCCATAGCCCGGTCATTCTTATTTATTCTGTATTCGAAACACGCAATGGGAAAACGGCAGTGTACACAAAACGTACATAAAAGCAGCTATGCGCACAAAATAGGGGCACAAAACATGAACGCAAATTCTCCTGCCTTGTATCAAGCTGTTTGCTCTGTCGGCAGATGGACAAACAAACAATGTGACCTGGCAAATGACGTCACTCTTGCTATGGATTATATTTGGGCCGATGGATGCACAACTCGCCCTTTTGTGTTGTCAAATATGAACAACATAGATCAGTGCAGCTGGAAAGCCGTGTATCGATCTGTACATACGAGATTATGAGATCACGTTGGATGTAAGCTCACGTTTTGATCAGGCGGGTCGGGGTTTATTACGCACACGCGGAAGGGGGGAATATGAATGAATCTGTGCGTGGGGAAAGTACAGCGGAGGTATGCAAGATGGTTCAGCTCAGTGGTTCCCAGACTGCACATCCTGCGGCCCTTAGGGTTCACAGCGGTCCCTCCAGATATTACATATTTCATAGTTCATGTTAGAGATCATCTTCACTGCACATCGAAACTGACCATAAGTGCTCCGATCTTCTCCTGAATATGTCTCTAAGTGTTTTTAGGCTAACAACTCCCATTCGGTTCTGGCTGATGTAACTCCAGATGTCGCTCCAGAAATACTTTATAATACATACAAGTTTTGAGAACCGCCGTGATGTAGTGGCTAGACGGATCTGAAGGTCGTGGGTTCGGGTCCTAATGGAGCCGAACTTTTTTCAAAACTACCTTAGCTCCCAGGTGGACCCAGTCTTGGGTGGGTACCAAGTATAGTTCCGCGAAGTAAAAGCGGCCGGTGTGATGTTAACCACATCACCCACCGAGTGCCGATTTATCTATAAAATAAAGGTCTAGCCCTATATGCCCATTCGGCCTCAAGACTAGGAAACCGGTCACACTTACACACAAGTTTCGGTGGTCTCTGCCACTTCTGCTTTTGTTACTATGTCATCTAAACTCTCTTATTGATTCCCTTATTAAATAACACATGACCGTGCTGTGCCCACAATAAAGGTTGGCTAAAGTGTAACGTTTTGTCTTATGGAATATTACGTGAGATGGCCCTAATCTTTACGGTATACTTCTCTTACCAGTGTCCGAAAACCACGAGATCGATCTATTTTAAACCGTCGATCGCGGGGAATGAGGCTCATGCAATTGTTAACCGCATTCACTAACCTCTAAGCCCTGGAGCCGATTGAGTTTCTTATTAACTTCTGAAACTTATACACTGTGTGTTTTATGCTGGCTCTGACATTAGAGCTTCGGATTTTGCGCGCGTGCGTATACACACACACACACACACACACACACAGTCACACACACACAGCAGACGCCCCCATGCCTAAATAAATAAGAATGGGTAAAGGAATCAACAGTCGATGTGCAAAACCAAATCAGGGTTTTTGATCGAAAACAACCTTTTTAACGCACAAAAGGATACCTTTGTCTACTAACAGAGACCTAGTAAAAGATAGTTTTTTTGACCAACTCTATTCTACCAGTATCACATCAGTCGGCCCCTCTGGCTTATGCCTTGCGAACGCGCTTTATAATGCCGGGATGCCGAATTCGATCCCAGCTGCGGGCGATCTGGCAGTAGACTGTCTTGAGTTGGTTTTGACAATGGTATCAATAGCTGACCGTTCAGGTCAATGGCAAACTACTGAACATACATTTGCCTGGAAACATCGCAACAGAAATAAAAGGCTGGATTTAGTTCTGCAACGTCCGGAAAACGATTGCATTAACAATATCAAACATGGACCCTAATTATAAGTTAGAAAAGCAACACCATAACAATAGAGATGAGATGACGTAGTAATTTCTTCTGTCATCTTTTGTCCTACTGCTTACGTTGTAAAGTGTCGCCGATAGGAATTAAATATAGTTTAACGGAGTAAAAAAGAAGAGATACAATCAAAAATGAAGATATCTGAAGAATTTAAGAACTAAGACCAGTCGTAAATTCGACAATGCAATGGCAACTGAATTAAGCGTATGTGTCGATTCCTCCCTATTAAACATGACTGCCATACTACACCTCTCCCAGCAAAGACTGTGGATCTGGCCCAGGGGATCCACATTGCGAAAGAAGCTATGGGGGACCGGTGGCGACCTTAAACGCACAATCCTATTTTTGACCCAGACGGGACTCAATGTTTAGCATGACTGATGTCGAATGCAGAAGAAGAAGAAAAACTGCCATACTCCGTTTGTCTGGACAGCTTTAATCGACCTTGCTGTCTGGACAGTTTGCGGTCCCCTGCTGACCAAATTCTGTATTCCCTGGACAGGTGACCACTATCAAACATTGCCAGCTCTTTGTCCTGGATGCTGCAAAATCTATCGGTCATCACTCGGGCTTTGAATAGCCTCACAGAAATTTAGATAATCGTTTACAATGCATTCGAAAAAACACACAGACGATCCTTACAGACCTCCCTCCCCACCTCCCCCCATCATTTTAATCCGTGACCAGGTGGTTTATTGGCTTGCCGGTAGACGACCTTGTTGCCGGTGGGGGAAAGAATTTGGGTCTGTCGTCTTGGATCGCATGAACACTGCAGGAGTCCTTTTTTAGGTCGCTAGGTGGCGTGCAATGCTAAGCCAATGGTCTAACGGGAGGAAGACAAGAAGAAGTTGAAGCCACCCACCCACATACATACACACACATACACAAGCTACGCAATGATCCTCCATTAAAACACAGACGGATAGCTCCACGACTACACAAACACAAAAACCGCTACACAAGCTACAGTGCACAACAAGTGGGAGCTTACTTCATATTTGCCAATGTTTTTCACCCAAAGATAAACACAATATGGCGGTTATGACGTCAATGAGTATATAAAAAAAAAGTGCATTCCTTGATAAAGCCAATATGTGCGTATGAGTCACTCGGTCAAACTGAGTTCACTGATAGAAGCGTCGAAACAGATATTTAACTGTAAGGGGGAAAAAAAAGGGGGGGGGGGGGGGGGGGGGTCAGTTTTATTGCACTGAAGTTTGTCCCAGATGGTCTGATATCTCCCTGTAGAGTGGTAGGTGCCCGACCACGACCATTACACAAAGAAAAAAAATTAAGCTCCAGCAAAGTCTTCCAAGTTAAAAAAAAAAAAAAAACCGACCTTAAGACCAAGGCAAACTTCGTCGTGGGCACCATCCATTTCTAAATATCCCCAACTACATTAGACACCTTAAAAAAATATAAATTTCTTTCAAGATCCTAATTTTCAATACAATGGTTTTAATGTCTCTGATCCTCGCTTGCTTAAGCCTACCTTATCTTGACCCGTCGTACGGAAATTGGAACCTCGACTGACATTTGATATAATAATAGCTTAGTGGGCATGGGGGAGGGGATTGGGGGGGGGGGTATAGGGGATTTTAACAATTGAAGAAAGAAGTCGACACGTGCCAATGGACCTCATTGTTTCGGTCTTACCTCGTTTGCTCCTAGCACGAATATTCTTGGGCAATTTATAAAATTTAGAAAATGACCAACTGTTCAAAATGTCCACTGGTGCCATTTTTTCAGACCTTCACCGCATGTTTCATGTGTTTATTCAACAGTTCAACGTCATGGCCCTCGGGTGTAACCCATAAGTGCTCCGTTCTACTTCTAACTCATGCCTGAGTCTAAAGAATGTCAGCACAGAGCAAGAACTCCGTTGCACCGGCGAGGATATTAAACATACGGCAGTTTATCACAAACATCAGATAGAGACAGTCACCGTTTTGTTTGCTTCGGTAACGTGATGAGAACCAAGAAATTGGTGCATGTTGCGACAACCGGACAGACGTATGGTTTAGAACAAGAAGGAGACAACATACAAATATTCTGGAGAACCATTTCTCATTGCATTGACGGGTGTAAGTAGCCGACTTGATATTTGCTGCTGGCGATCGTAAAGTTCTAGAGAATCTTTGTAGATTACGCCAGTCGGCAAAACACTTGATGAGGATGACGAGAATAATGATAATGATGCTAATGCTGGTGATGATGATGATGAAGATGGCACTACTCCTATGCTGGAGAATCAGGAGGGGCAGTTTAGATGTAACACATGATAAACGGCAGGCATAATTTAATTGGGATGAACATAATGTGGTTTTTAATTACATAACTGGTGTCCAAGAAGTTTCTATACATAGAAAAATGCCTTTAAAAAAGCATTCTCTGCCGAATAGCATATAAGCACTATTGAAGTAATGTTTATAGTGGCTCTGGTGATGTGTAGATTTTTCTTATGTATGGACACGCATGAAACACCAGGTATTTATAATATTCCAATTATTTACCTACTTGTATAATTTCACTTAATTACCTCCGTATATTACCTCGCAGTTGCTGATGCTCAGCTTCCTTAATTTGGTCAGTCGCTTGACCACAGTCCACAGCTCGTCCATCTCAATGGGCACAAAATGAAGACACAGGACACTCAGATGATGCACATCCGCACTCTCTGAGATAGAATGTACAATATTCCAGCCTTCTTGCATGGCCGTCTCGCTGCGGAGGTCATTCAACGGAAGCCCTGAGTTGATTTTTAGCTTAAAGGTTTCTAAATGTTTCAGAGATGAAAGAAACCTATTCACGCCATGTGATGTCACTCTCCAACAGGCATTAAGAGAAATGTCACGGAGGTTGGGGAATGATTCCGCAATAAGTTCTAGATCGCCATCGGTCAAGGCAAAACCTCCATTAATTTGCACATGTTCCAGATGGTTCAGATTTTGAAGACTTTCAACTACTGCACGCGTCCATAGAATCGGCAGTCGTAAATATCGTAAGTTGTACAGCCTAGGTATCAACGCAAACATACTTTCATAAACTGGAGAGTTTTTATACCAGGTCAGTCTCTGGACATGGAAACCGTATACCCGAAACACACAACATACCATGCTGAAATGATAGTACTGGTAACCTGAGGGGTCTATATATAAATCGCGCCATAGCTGGCTTGTTGTCTGTAGAATTCGGCGCCATTTCCGACAGACCATGGCCAGAAGAGGAAGTTCGTCTTCTATTGGTCTGAAGAAGTTGAACACCCGGATGAGGATCTCGTCTGGAAGATCGTTGATGAAGAAAGCGACGGTGACGTTTTTAGATTTGCCATACTTCTGCGATGTGTATTGTTTACTGGAGCTTTGGATGAGCATTTCAGGAATGTTGACTAGCAGTTTCATGTGGAAGTAGTTATGTGTCTATCTTTTTGGCTCTGCGGGAAAAAAGAAAAGATAGAAAATGTATCAATTTAACGAACCGTCTTCAAGTCTGTTGCTTCGATTCTTAAAACTAAATCAGTTAAACGCATTTAAGAAACGGCAAACCCTGTTCACATGTCTGAAAAACAAAAACAAAAAATTATGAAAGCAGTGTAAAGGAAACGTTCCACGAGTGAGACGCAGTGGTCGTATGGTTTTCTATAGACAAGTCATCAATAGATTGATGCGGTATTTAGTATCATACCGCATCGGGGCATATTTTTTTGTATTAAGCTATGATTACTTAGCAATAGTTCGCCCTGTCCTTAAAAGTCAATTCCGTGTGGCGTTGGTAGTCATGTCTATTCACAGCCTTCAGTCCACTATACCTTCAATCAACTCCGACACAGATGATCACAGATGATCTCAAACTGTCCAGCACCTTTTCTCTTAGTTTCCCTCCTCCTCTCCTCCCCTCCAACTTTCCTAATGTCACGATGTACTCTAGTTTTCTCCTTCTCAGGACATGACCAAAGAATGTAGATTGTCTTTTTCTGATGTGGGCAATCAGTCCTCTTCGTGACTCAGTTTCTTTCAAGATATCTTCCTGACTCTTTCTATCTGTCCAGGGTATTCTCATCATTTGTCTATAAACCCACATCTTCGCAGCTTCCAAATAATTTTTCACTAATCTACCAACTGTCCATGATTCACTTCCGTATAACAAGGTATGATTTATATAGCTTTTAAGAGTTTTCTAGCAATTGACAAAGAAAGATTGCCTAAAACATTGTGGTACTTTAACCTCTTGATTTTAGCATCACTGCGGAGAGCCACATTTCCAGTATTACTTTTAAAGAACATGGTTTTATTTGTGGTCACCTGCCTTGAACGTCAAAGGAAGCCTCAGTTTCTCAGATGGAGAGGCGATCTTTGTGATTCTAAGTGTTTTATATATATATATATATATATATATATATATATATATATATATATATATATATATATATATATACATACATTTGCACTGAAAGAAGCAGTTCCAAACGAACACCCTCGGTCGTTAAATCTCCTTCAAGAGATCACAAACGTCCAGTAAAATTTACTGCAGGTTGCTTTAGGACAGCTGGGTGCACTATTTTAACTGTCTTATACGAGTGAAGGTCTTTCTGGGCTTTGCTCCGGTTTGATTCTCATCGCTGATATGTTAATTCTACGGACTGCAGTTTAAATGCTGAAAATTAAGAGAAATCCCAAACAGTGCCGTCTTAACCCATGGATCACCTGACCACTTACCCTGGGGCCCCAAGAGCACAGGGGCAACATGATAATCTTTGTATGTCAAGCGTGAGGTTGTCGAATGGGCCCCAGCACGCTAGTTTACCCAGGGGCCTATAAAGGCTGTTCTGGTCACAAATGGAGAATCTTTTACAACAATGCACGAACTTCATCTCAGTCGCCAACGTAACAAACTTGTAGCCACTCCTAGCCTCGTTTACAGCCTGAGACTACAATGCAACTTGTTCATGTGTTGTGAACCATCTGCTGTGCAACACCACACTCAGTCGTGCACTGTATCAGGTGCGCTTTGCATGGAGAGTTACAGCCATCATAAAACGGTTTGCTTGTTTATACAGTCGTCTGCATCTCATGAAGTGAAACCCAGTCATGCAATGCAGTACCGCACTCTTTCTGTCTATTTTCTTTCTTTCTTTTCTCGTTGGCTTGTTCATTCATTCTTCTGTCCTCTAGCGTCGTTAGGCTACTCTTTTCAATTTCCAACTGTCGGGGGATTTTTTACGTGCGCAACAATACACATGGGCATACGATCTGACTACCCAGAGATCAGGATAAATTACTAGAAGTCCATATGAAATAATAGCAGTCGTCACCAGGACCTCCAACACTTGAGGCGAACGCCTTGCCTCGGGACCACTCAGCTCCCCACCCCACTTCCCCGGAGGGTGAAGTCTGTGTGTGTTGGTGAGGATGGTAGGTAGGAAGTTAGTTGTACCCCACCAGGACATCACACAAGCGACAAACACCCGGTGACACAAAGTGCCACCATGCGAATGAAGATCACCCGTGGAGAGGTCCCAACTATTAGGCCATACCTATGGCTAGGCCACACCTATGACCTGGTTATATTCAGGGCCTGCGGCAGAAGCCGGGGTGGGACTTCAAATAAAAAAAATTGCATCCCACAAGAGGACGACTTTAGTATGGAGTGGGTGAGGATGAGGGGGCCTTAAACTCAGCCCACCCCAGATCCTACACCCTACTGTAGCCAGAATTACTTCCTTCTTAACATTGCACCCAGTCTAACAGAACAACTCTGTGAAGTTCACCACCTGGAGCCGACGCGTGGCTTGATCCGACGAGCCATAAGTATGAACTTATCCTGACCCGCTTGTCGGACACGACCCCTGCATACCTGGCTTTCCTCACCGCATGACAACACCAGAAATATTAGTGCAAACGTAATCGTGCAGTGTCATCGTCGGAGGTAATCTCCCCTTGCTTATGTGGCGCTGGACGAGACTATTATAATCTGAGTCGTAAGACATAGGCCACGTCTGTCTGTCTGTCTGTCTGTCTGTCTGTCTGTCTGTCTGTCTGTCTGTCTGTCTGTCTGTCTGTCTGTCTGTCTGTCTGTCTTCTACTTTTTTTCTGTTCTCTGTCTGTCTATCCGTCTTAAGGCTGATTACTGATTTAAGAATCCACAGCATAGCACACCGGGCATACCCATAGATGCTCCGTCTCTCGCAGGTGTAAATGCTAACTGTTCTCGTAGCACACTGATTATACACACGTCGTTCTCTTCCTCTTATCCGTCCCTTCTTGCCGGATCCACACCTAATTTCTCGTTCACAAATTCTAACCCATGTTATTTCATCTAATCTCGTGTCTTCGGCCAACATACTTTCATATATGGTCTTTAGAATATCCCCCTTGTCTAGCACGAGTGTTCCCGTAGCTTTCGCTTTTGTATATAAATATAAAACTTAATGCATATATATATATGATTGCCGTTTCTTTTATATTTTAATTAATTGTTTGATATTACTTTGAGGTGTCTTAACTTGCCATCTGTCAATCTGTTCAGACGTCTTATCTCATTGTCTGTCATTCAAATCAGTTGTCTTATCTCACAGTCTTCCATTTGGATCTAATTATCTATCAGCTGCATCACATTTTCTGTCAGTAATATTTTATTGTTTTTCAGTCGAATCTGTCATTGTCTTTTCTCATAGTTTTTTAGCGCTTTAGATATTTATGTCTTATTTTACTGTCTGCCAAATCTGTCTCGTATTCTGCCTGTTATTTAAACTGTCTTACCGTGTTTTAGGTCGACCATTTTCCGTTTGAATTAGCAATGTGAAGGGTATTAAACCCTTTGTCAAGGCTTCGCGGACATATGATGCTTGCCTAATATTTTTCGACCAATTTCGAATGCCATTGTAACAAAAGAAAATTTTATTTCAGTTTGTGTTAAGCTTTTCTAACAAAGCCAAATCGAGCAGAAATTATATGATAAACGCAACACTATATAACAGCGAATCTACTTCTCCAACATAATCTTTACTTAACAACGAAAACAAAAATTAAATATACAAAAATAAATGGATTCCAAAACTCCAAAGAAACACAACAAAAGCATATTACACAACACACCAGTAAGGCAGTTTTCCCTCCTTGCGCGGCAAAATATCTGGCCCACTCACACGACGAAAGTTTCATTCATAAATTGGCCTTGGTGAACCCCCGCGTTATATACCGGATAATGATGACCCATGGAGCCCACCCAGCCTTTCCGGTACGGCTATCCTTGTGATGTGATGAAACTGTGAGGACAAGCTGTGTGTTTACGACCATATGACGCAAATGATCGCTTTTTCCTGGGTTAATCACTTAAAGGGATCGATATTTTCAACACGACTGTAAAGATGGAAGCTAGAACTGTGTATAGATGGAGACACACACATATTCAATGCAACGTCAAAATAGGGACAACACTAAAAGGCCAATTTTCATGCCCTGAACGGAGTCTGAGGACCCAGTGCAAGCATGTTATATTTATAGATAAATTGATGCTCGTAGAGTGATTTGGTCCAAGGACGCCATAACCAGGTGTTAAGGCCACTGAGCCCAGCCCCCCCCCCCCGGGGGCCTCCCAAAAAATCTAGGCCATGGACTAAGCCTCGCAAATAAACTTTGTTAGGAGGCTAAACGTTTCAAAACCATTTACTGAAGCAGTCTTTTGTAAATGTGTTTGCATACTTTACAAATATATTACTAGAAATATCTGCAGTTCAGCTCTTTTATTATTATTATTATTATTATTATTATTATTATTATTATTATTATTATTATTATTATTATTATTATTATTATTATTATTATTATTAATATTCTTATTAATATTAGCTTAACACTTTCAGTATCCAGACAAGCAATCAATGTCAGACGTGTTGTATTCTTTTACATCACGTGTAGTGTTCTTTTACATTACGTGTTGTGTTCTTTTACATCACGTGTTGTGTTCCTTTACATTACGTCTGGTGTTCTTTTACATCACGTCTGGTGTTCTTTTACATCACGTCTGGTGTTCTTTTACATCATCTCTGGTGTTCCTTTACATTACGTCGAGTGTTCTTTTACATCATCTCTGGTGTTCCTTTACATTACGTCTGGTGTTCTTTTACATCATCTCTGGTGTTCCTTTACATTACGTCTGGTGTTCTTTTACATCATCTCTGGTGTTCCTTTACATTACGTCTGGTGTTCTTTTACATCATCTCTGGTGTTCCTTTACATTACGTCTGGTGTTCTTTTACATCATCTCTGGTGTTCCTTTACATTACGTCTGGTGTTCTTTTACATCATCTCTGGTGTTCCTTTACATTACGTCTGGTGTTCTTTTACATCATCTCTGGTGTTCCTTTACATTACGTCTGGTGTTCTTTTACATCATCTCTGGT